AAACGTGTAGTTTTGTGAAATTTACTCTTAATTAATCGTAATCCATCGATCGAGTCAGCACAACCATACCTCTGGTGTCCGGTTAATTTCTCTCCGAAATAGAAGGCGTCTCTTTCTCCAACAGCCAATTCTCAATTCTGCAATGCTTTTTCTTCCCAAACTCCGCTGATCACCTGCTACCGCGCGCCTTCATTTTCCTGTGTGTCCAAACCGATCGAAAGACAACGGTGGCACCGGCAAAAGCGACGTGCGGAACATCCAGCGCCGCGAGCTTGCGATGTGCTCACAGCTTCGTTTGTCTGCACGCATGCATATATCCACGTACCTCTCGCGGAAGTGTGGCTTTCAGGCGTCGTCCAGGCGGATCGATGAGCTCCCTCCATTCGCAACCAAGAGCGTACTTCTGAACCTGACGTCTGTACACATATGGAGTATATATATAGCTCAAATTTTGCGACGTGTAAAACGGAATTAACAGATTTCCTGCTAGCTCTGCCTCTGGGTGATAATCAAGAGCGGCATTATTGGCTCGGATTGCCACATATGCATGCAAGCTAGATCCAAAATGGAGGGTGCTTTTCAGGTTCAGACTTCCGTAGAAATTCAGTTACTAGTATAGCGCAGGATTGCAAGTTGTACTTGTACACGTTGGGAAGAAGCGATGTGTCTACTGTGCAAGAGCTATACCGAGTCAGGATAACTGTTCTCCGAAGAGAGGGGAATAAAAAATCAAGTTCACAGTAAATTCTGAGTAGAAAAGGCAGTCGGCCCTGCCTGAACAATTAATCATGAGAGCTGTGCAGGACACTGCAGGCAACTATCGTTGGACGAGCAGCCTGTTTAGCGATAATTGTGGGACGATAGATCATTCTATTACTTGCTCAATCTTAAAATATTAAAATATTACTACTTAAGATGATATACTTTAATAAGTCAAATCCTATACTAGATAGCAATATTTTGGAACAGATATACTGTAATATAAAAAGATATCCGATCAGACGATCAACATTCCCTAGACTCTTTTCTTTTACTACTCCCTATATTTCAATATAAACCAATTTAGATAGGATATGGTATTTCATAGTACAGTAAATTTGGATAAGGGCATGTCCAGATTCGTTTTTTTATGGAGGCATGTCCAGATTCGTTATACTGGAAAATATCTCATTCTATCCTAAATTCATTTATTTTGGTACGGAAGGGTATTCCTCTAATCTATGTTCGAAGTATAAATCTATTGGTTCGTAACTCATTTCTCATGCAAGAAAAACGTGGTAACCTATTAGCGCATGGTTAATTAAGTCTTAGCTTAAAGAGAACTTAAAAAGATGTATTAATATGAACTTTAGAGCAATTTTTCATATATTTTTCTTAAAAACAACATTGTTTAGTAGTTCAGTAAATGTGTGTGTGTACGAGGTAGTAGAAGTTGGGAAAAGGGGTTGCCAAACACAGCCAAGTTGTGTTTTCAACCCCCAATTAAAATCTTAACATTTTGAAACCTCATCAACTATGTTAAGGTTGTTCACTTTCCAATCTCAGAGCCCCAAAGTAAAAGTCATTTGACATGGATCTAACATACATTGTACCAGCATAAAACAGAGATAGTTTTCATTTTTTGAACAGGTATAGTGGTAACTTTTGTTAAACACCAATCTAGTTTGAGGCATGAGAACTTAAATGGTTAATAATAGGGGCTCTTGACCTTACTAATTAGAAAGAGGCAAATTTTGCTACAACACGCCCAAAATTTGTGTAATTTACTGATAGACATCGAAAAAATATGTCATGGCTAAAAGACATCCTAAAAGACTGGTAATTTGCTAGAGGACACTTTCAACTCAATTGGAGATGAGAAATTCTTGAGAAAGACAAGAATGCCCCTAGAATCACATGCTTCAAACACAATGTTAGAGTAAAAATTTAGAAATTATGTAACTCTAAATTTAGCATCACCCCAAGTGCATCACTAGTATACATCATATTTTATCTTCACTCCAGTCTTAGCTCAAAATCTTTTGACGATAGGGGCATTCTCGTCTTTTTAAAGAATTTCTCTCTTCAATTGAGCCGAAAGTATCGTCCAGCAAATTACCAGTTTTTTAGAGTGTCTTTCAGTTGCGACATGCTTTTATGATGTATATTAGCAAATTGCACAAAATTTGAGTGTGCTGTAGCAAATTGCCTTAGAAATATTTGTTGATACAAAATAGAGAAAGAGAAGAGACAAAACATCGTTACTATGATTTACAATAGCTCAACATTGAATATTACTCTCTACAAAATGAAAACATATTATCTCCCGCCTCGCCGGCCACCAACGCACTCCTCCTCTCCCGCCTCACCTTGCCAGCCTTCTCCCCACTGCCTGCCGGCTTGCCCAAAGAAGAGTGAGAGATAGGAGGAAGGGAGAGAAGAGGGGAAAGAAAGGGTGATGACGTGGCTACCCTGACATGTGGGGTCTGCGTGGGTCCCACGCTAACTCAGCTGCCACGTTAGATAAAATTGGGATTATTACCGTCTAAGGATCCAGAGTAAGCTGGTTTTTGTTAGTTGAGGGATGTCATAGATCTGATTTTGCGGTTAAGGAACGATTTTGTAATCCAATGACAAGATGAGGGACCTCATATGTACTTCTTCCCCCTGAAATTGCGAGGTTCAGGGTGTACACTGTAATGGCCCAAGAAGCGAAAATAATGGGCTTCCTGACCCATTCTGTCTCGGGTTCTGTATAAGCCTGGACATTTGGGGACTATTTGCCTAACTAATAAATTATTAACAAAGTAGGAGTATATATTTTGCTCCCTCTTTTTATAAATATTCGACATTCAGTAGGTAATTTGGCCAAAATTTTGTAAATATTAACTACAAATAACTTGTCAAATACTTAGTTCAAAATATGGTATATGTAAAATACTACCATAAAAGTACTACCATAATATAGTATTGTAATCGTAATTTAAAATTGATGGTCCGAACTTCAATAGTTTAACAAATATTGTCCTAAACATAAAATAATTATGACAGTAGGGAATATACATAGTCTATGGCCCCGTTTATTTCTGATTAGGATACATATTCTATCTCGGTTTCGTCTGATCACTTTTGAAACTGTAAACAGTGTGATTAATGCGAAAACTTTTTATATAGAAGTTGCTCTAAAATAAATCTATTTTTTAAGTTATTAAAACTCAATTAATATGCGCTGGAGTAGTTTTTTTGTTTTACGTGCCCGTAATATTTAATCTTCATCTATTCTCAAACGGTTTTGCTGTAATTATGTAGCCACAAATCTTCTTAGATTACAGTTGTATCCCTGGGATCTCCCTTTAGATTCGTGCTGGAGTACTACTGTATCTCTACCGTCATGTGTTCATACGCTAGTTCATAAGAATATGATTAACACCAAATTATTACATCAAAATAATGACATAACGTAAGCATAGAAAAACAGACACTATATTTTATCGTTGTAAATACATATATAATATTTTAGAACTTACATTGTAAATTACATATGTAATTTAAGGACTTACATATACATGTAATTCTAGGACTTAGGTTATAAATACATTAAAATTATATATATAATTTAGGGACTTACGGTGTAAATACATGATGATTAATTTTTTTTGAAAAATATGGCGGCATAAATATGCTTAGCCCATTTAGAAACGAGGCGTACTCCCTCCGTCTCCAAAAAAGGCAAACCGTGGGCTTCCGTGCCAACATTTGACCGTCCGTCTTATTTGAAAAAATTATAAAAAAATTAAAAAGATAAGTCACGTGTAAAGTATTAATCATGTTTTATTATCTAACAACAATGAAAATACTAATTATAAAAAATTTTCATATAAGACGGACAGTCAAACGTTGGCACGGAAATCCACGGTTTGTCTTTTTTTTGGGACGGAGGGAGTATGTTTTACCAACAATGGGCAGTTGAGAAATTAAGATTGAGCAAACAGCAAAGGTATATACTCCCCTTGTTTTCAAAAATTTGGACACTATTCACCTGTAATCTTCGACTGCTTGTCTTTTTTCCCAAAATATTATATATACATAAAAATATGCCACGTTAACAATATATGTTGTGTGATAAATATAAGGGCATCCATAATTTAATTTAGTACAAAAGTAGTGCATAGGAAATAAACTATTACATTCAGTCACCTAGTAACATTGTGTGACTAGTTCATATAAAAAAAATAACTAAAGGTACCCATATGCATATAGACTACCCATATGAAATAAATAATATTATCTATCTCTATTCTCTTTCTTCTTCTAATATACTATACCTTGTATCCATATACATTGTGAGGATTGTCATGGATAAAATTTATTTATGTGGGTCCCATCTATATGGACTACTTTTACCATATACATTGATAATGCCCACAGATAATTTTCATTAATCATAAATTAGACATTTAAAAGTTAGTGTTAATAATGTTTAAAGATGATACTACTAACTGATGACAAGTAAACGGGGATGAAGGGTATAGTCCGTACGTTCCAGCAAGTAAACAACGAAGCTACTCAGTGGTTTATGCATCATGATGACACTGTCAATCGTCACTCTGGACGACCGACCATGTGTTTCCACTTCGATCAGTGCAAAAGAAAATAAACAATGGCACGGTGTTCATCGCAGGGGTTCACTTCACACTCTCCTGTGGCCGAGGTCAACTATCTAATTGAGCGTCCAATTGCATGGATCATGATGCCGTCGTACAGTCAAATGACCAATCCAGGTAGTAATTAGTACGCTCTCCAGCTAGGCACAAATTAATGCAGGGAAGCTTTGCTTGACTAAATCATCAGCCTAGCTAACTAGCTTACACATGCACAAGCATTGTCAATTGCTAATCTTCTGTTAAAATATACTACTCCACTCCACTCTATGTATGACCAGCACAAGTTCCATGGAAGCATCAAGCATGTACATTTCTTTTTTCTGAACTAACAGAAAAATTCAGAGAAAGCCAAGCAAATTGTGACAAGAAGCATGCCAAGTTAGCTCTGAATTAGGAGTAACAGGAAATTCAGAGAAAGGTGTACATTTTCTTTTTCTCTTGTGTGATAATAATAGAATAATTAATTAAGCGTGTACATCATTACATGTATGTGAAACAGCCTAGTGGTGGTAGTAGATGCTAGTAAGATCCAAACTGCTGAAAGTATCTGGAAGCTAAATTGAGCTAAGCTAAACTAGAAAGGAAAAGAATAATTAACAAGGAAGTGATAGATTAATCAGAGGAGAGATCTGCAGAGAGGGCAGGTGAAGTGGCCCATGTCGACCCACCGATCGATGCAGGGGAGGTGGAAGGCGTGGGAGCAGTTTCCCAGCTGCCTCACCTCCGCCCCCTCCTCCACGGCGGCCAGGCACACGGCGCAGCGCGGGGACGCCTCCGCGGCGGCGCCGTCCTCCTCCTCCCCGTCGGAGCCGGATCCGCTGGCGCTGAACCTGACGACGGGGAGGCGGCTCTTGATCCCGTCGGCCTGGGCGCGCGCGGCGGTGGCGGCGGCGCCGGGTGGTGGTGCGGCGAGCTCGGCTTCGGCGTCGGCGTCGCCGCCGGAGAAGAGCAGCGCGGCCGGGAGGGCGCAGCCGCGGGAGATGCACTCGAGGAGGTGGAGGAGGGAGTGGAGCGGAGGCGGGAGGATGACGCAGTAGTACACCGCCGGGAAGCCCATGGGTTTGTATGGTGGAAAATGAAATGGTGCTTTGCTTTTGCTTGATGTGGTCAGGTGCTCAGGTTGGTGACGATGAGGCTGTGTGGTGGTGGTGGTGGCTGTGCGCTGCAGTAGCGCGGTTGGGAGTTGGGGTTGGGTTTGGGTTGGCATTAAATAGGTGAGACTGCATGATCAGTTGGGTGGTTATCGTCCCAGAGATGGGCAGATCAAATAGCTTGCCCTTTAAAAGTTTAGATTCAAAACTTTTTTTTTCAAACTTTCAACTTTTCCATCACATTAAATATTTGGACACATGCATTGAGCATTAAATATGAACGAAAAAAAATAATTGCACAGTTTGCATGTAAATTGCGAGATGAATCTTTTGAGCCTAATTACGCCATGATTTAACAATATGATGCTACGGTAAATATTTGCTAATGACAAATTAATTAGGCTTAATAGATTTGTCTCGCAGTTTACAGGCGGAATCTATAATTTATTTTGTTATTAGTCTACGTTAGTACTTTAAATGTGTGTCCGTATACTTTAATTTTTTTTTTGCACGAACTAAACACAGCCATATGTGTGTCTACAAAACAGTCAACTGATGAATGCAGACTGTCAAACGTATCTTCGGCTTGTAGAGACGTTGATCCTGGGTGAAAGTATTCTAACATTATGGTTAATTACAGAATTATTTCATTGTATAGCTTTACTATTAGGAATCTGTTTTGCTTACCGTTGCTTGCTTGCATATTCCAGCGTGAAAAAGAGATACATGTTAGTTTTTGTTATTTGTTACTAGTCGGTTAAGATCATAGGAAAATCACTAGTTAATCCTTCTTGTTTTAGATCGAACGGTTTTATAAGAAATTGTAGATTATATTTATTCCTATTGCTTTTTATTCACAAGGGCCATTTCTCGAGCTCTAATAGACTTATCTTTGTTGGATCTAGCCGCAACGAGCTCGAGGCTGTCAGACCTGGTGATAGCAAGCTCGTGGCTGTTGGATTTAGCTCCCGAAGAAAAGTGAGAGATGGTGATGACAGTAGTGCTCGAGGCTAAAAACGATGGTGGTAATGAAGACAAAGTTGACCAATTGTGAGGCGAGCAAACAAATTAGAGATCGTAGATGATCAAATTCATAGTGTAATTGTACACCCTGCCTATCAGGTTTAAAATTAAAATAATAGTGTCAAGCATGTATATATGGCATAGTTTAAGTGTGTTCTTAACACTATCCATAACAAACAAATTCATATGATAAGGCACTAAGGGTGAGATGGATAATAATTGTATGGCAATGGTTTTATGCTTGTACCTTTAGCGATGCAATGGTAAGGCTGAGCGATGAAAAAAGAAAATTCCAGATATATTAATTCTAAAATTACACTATTCCCTCCTTATAGTATAAATCGTTTCTATTTTGTTACTAGCTAAATTTATAGAAAGATAACAACATTAAGAAAAACAAACACATTATAAAATATGTATTCAATGATATATATTTAATGAAACTTATGCTGTTGTAGATGTCATTAATTTTTTCTATAAATTTAATCAAACTTAACTAGGAAAAAAACAATTTGTGATACGAAACGGAGGGAGAACCTTATAAGTCACAGAAAAAACAAGATTAAGGCCCTGTTTGTTTCAGCTTAAGATTATTGTAATCTAGATTATTAAATCAGATTACTCTAAGCTGGATTATAATAAGCTGACATAAAATAAGCTACGAGTTGTTTGTTTCTCTGGATTATTAGAGGCATGTAAGGGTAGTGTGTCTTTAGCCACTCAATAATCTGGAAAAAATTCCTCTAGAGAAGATTATTGGATTATAGTAATCTGGCTTATAGATTATAATAATATAGCATAATAATCTACTTGTTTGTTTCAGTTTACTCCTAATAATCTAAATTATAATAATTCTAAGCTGAATTAAACAGGGCCTAAGGTAATAAGATTAACTGTACGACTAACTGGAGTAGCCGGTCATTTGTTTTAGAAATCAAAATACTATAGCACTCAAAATCTGAACGACGAAAGGGCAGTGCATCACAACATGCTGCACGTGGATTTGATTGGCTGCTTCCGCCCATAATCCGCCGACCACGTCTGGTTATTCATTGTTCGAATTTATAATCAGCATAGTAGTACTATTTGTTATTACTTAATTAATCACTAGGATTAGTTGTCTAATTAGTACTCGCGCAAACAGAGAGAAACATGGTCAACGAACCTCAAGACAGCAGTTCGTCAATTGCCGGCCAAGTCGGTGGCCACCTGAGGCTGAGTTCCGTTACGTCCCGTTCATTTCCCGCGGGGCATTCAGGATGGGGATGGATATAAGTGACTCTTCAAGAAGAATTAAATGGAGAAAAAAATATATATTCATCTACGCCGTCTGATGGGAGTGGGAAAAAATCGAGCGCTGACACGCATGCGTGCAAAAATACTTGAAAATATTTTTTCTCTTAAATTATTTATCCAAATCATAATCCAATTGCACCATTAAATTCGTTGCAATTAAATCTTCAAAACAAGACCGCACATGGATATATTCCAACGAATTTTTTTAGCTTATTATTGAATTATTTTTAAATGTTGCACGATGTTCCACCAAATATATCTGAATTGTTTCACTAAGTAGATCGAAAATATTTCAATCGTTTAAACCGGACGTTGTTTCACCTTATATAAAACAATGTTTCAGCAACTAGCGTAAGAATGTTTCAGTTTACTGCAACATTTGATCCATACATAGTGAAACATTATAAGTACATTAGGTGAAACATTTTTTGTGGGTTTCCAAAAAATGAAACGAATTCCCTTATTAATAGTGGGTTTCCAAAATATATGGGTGATTTATTGCAAAAGAATGTTTCAATTCACTTCAACATTAGATCTATACGACTATACATGGTAAAACATCGTGAGTACACTAGCTGAAACATTTTTTGTGCAACAAAAATGAAACGAATTCCCTTAATAGAGGGTTTCTAAAATATGTGGGTGATTTGTTGCAATAGAGTATGTGATGGAGACACATGGCAGGTGGGGGAGGGACACGTGGGTAGGCCCTAGGGGGGGCGCGCACCGTGGGGGAGGGAACGCCCGATTTTCCTCCCTCCCCCCGAGCGACCGACGGGGAGGATTCCTGAGAAAAAAAATTGTTCCTGTCGGGTTTAGTGGAGGCGGACATCTAGCTATCCCATCTGTACGTGTTTCTCACGGAGACACGATTAATGAGCAAATGGGTATAAATTCAAAACGAATTATCTATACTACACTATAGAAGAAGTGATCTTTGCTGAGATCGCAAAAATCACATTATAAATCATTTGTAGTCCCGGTTAAAAAGTCCAAGGGAACTTTTTGATCTTTGTAGTCCCGATTTAAAAAGTCGTCAGGCCTCCAATATCTTTATCTTTAGTTACCAACCGGGACCAAGGATTGAAAAAAAAAAGACAACCACAAGCCTACTCCACTCATTATCTCTCAGCAACCGTGCCCTCTTCTTATCCCTTCGCCCGACTCCTCCTCTTCTTATCCCTTCGCCTCCCTCCCTCCACTCCTTCTCCTCGATCCCCTTCTCTTGGTGGTGGGTTGTATCAGGCGGTGGCGGGCGGTGGTGCTGGGCGACGGGCGGAGGGGAGGGCAGCAGCAGGCGGAGGAGAGGACAGCGGCAGGCGACGGGTGGGCGGGCAGAGGGGAGGGCGGCGGCAGGCGGCGTGCAAGCTGGCAGAGGGCAGGGCGGGCGGAGGGGAGTACGGCGGCGGGCGACGTGCAGGCGGGCGGTGGTGCGCGGTGGGCGAGCGGGCGGAGGAGAGGGGGGCGGCAGGCGGAGGGGAGGATGGCGGCAGGCGGCGAGCTGGTGGAGGGGAGGGCGGTGACGACCCGGAGGAGTCGCCAGCAGTGCAAACGAGCGGTCTTACCACCGGACGCCACGCCATGGCTGGCGCCGGAGTCGACGACGTGCGGATAATTTTTTTTTTAGGATGTGTTGTAAATGTGTTGTGCTGTTGTATATTCTTTTAGATGGTTTTTCGAATTTGTGGGTGATTAATTTTGTTGTTGAGTATGTGAATTGTCATGGTTATAGATACCACATATCCAATAGTAATTGACCAAGCTCGACAGGGCCCACCATATACCAAGTCTTATATGGAACCATACCTCGTATATAGAAGGAGTTTCAGATAAGGAATGACAAGTAGAGTTCTATATGAAAACTACAAGGACTACTTGGATCGTATTCATACTTGTCTCCCTAATTCTATTTGGACAAGGGAACATATATAGGTATAAATACAAGACCCTCTAGGAGGGGAGGGGAGACAGAACAACACACAAGCCAAGACAAGCCAAACATCGACATCAGCGATTAGCCTAGATAGACCCAATCTGGTGCCTTCGGAGGCCGACAAGAGGGATCTAGCGCTATCTCTGATCTCAACGAGTTCATATTCAAGGAGACAGACTACCCCCATCATTGCCTACGTGTTGGTGTTCATGCCGCCAAGTCGACGGCGGCTAGATAGATTATCCCAAATATTGTACTTGTGTGGTTATGATGATTGATGAATATAGAGCAACACCGGCTTTGGCCAACAGGAGTAGGCTATTTACCTGTCAGATTTGGGGCACGATCCTGTATAAAAATCCTTGTCACCATTTCTTTTACCCCAATCTCGCATATACCCTGGTACCGACGATCTCCATTTATACCATGCAAAATACTGGGAGGAGGGGAGGGCGGCAACGGCCCGGAGGAGTCACTAGCGGCGTAGACAAGCAGTTTGACCACCGGACACCGCGCCATGGCCGGCGCCGGAGACGACGACGTGCGGATGATTTTTTTTAGGATGTGTTGTAAATGTGTCGCGCTGTTGTAGATTTTTTTAGGATGGTTTTCTGAATTTGTGGATGATTAATTTTGTTGTTGAGTATGTGAATTTGTGATGTTAATTTGATCTGTGATGTTTATTTAATTTGTGAATTGTGATGTTGGTGAGTTTGGCGCGAAATCAATTTGTAAACATAAAAAAAACAATAAAAAATAGGAAGAAAAAAAAACCTTTAGTCCCGGTTTGTAATCCGGGACTATAGGGGGTTTGAAACCGGGACTATTGTTGTCCTGTATAAAAAGGAGGAGTTTTATCTTCAAATCCTATAGTTGAAATTAAATCCAACAACTCATGTTTATCTACCTTACGTTACAATCCAATGGCTCAGATCACTCCCCCATCCCTCTGCGCTACTCCCCCATGCCACGGTACCCTTTTGGTTTCTGCGTTCTCTCCCCCTAAATCCCCTGATCCCCCGACCCCCATCCCCCACACACCCCCTTCCCCTTGCAAACGCTAGCCCCTTCCTCTCTCAAGCGCCGTCACGGTCATGTTGCGGTGTTGCCTCCCTGATCCTCCGCTGCCAAATCACCGTCTTGCTGTCCTTTTAGGTGCAGCCGCCGCGTATCACCCACGGTGCCCACCCTTCCCTGGTTCCCTGACCCAGTGCTGCCCCCTTCCTTCACCGTGCAAAACCCTAAAAAGCTCCGCCACCACAAGCACGTACCGTTGCCGTCAAGAGATCACCCTAATGTCAGCTCGCTGAAAAGATGCATAAAGTCTATAGTTGACAGCAATAATCATCCTGAGCATAAGTTGTAAGTCGAAACATCAAGATACAAGTTCAGAATCTGAAGAGAAAGATTCTTGCATGGTAACACCTCTCGAACGAGATTTTTGAGAAAATGGACAAGCAAGTATCTATAGAACATCTGAAATATTGTTTCTATACTTCTGCTAATTTTGTAATGTGAATATATTTACTTCTGGATGCAATGTTTCACGGGTGATGCAGTCATACTATGTTTTCAGCAGAAACAGGATGTAGAGACGGTTTCTCTAGGTGTACTAGAGACAGCCTGTGAACCGTCTCTGAGGCGCTGCCATTGCTCCCGTCTCAATAAACAAGAGACTGTTTTGCTAGCCGTGTCTACCAAGTAGAGACGGTCCATAGAGATGGGAAAACCATCTCTACATATATTTTCGATATTTTGTAGAAATATCATAATAAACACACTAGACACGGCTTCGGACCGTCTCAACAGATAAATTTCTTAGATACAGAAACAGACCTCCTCAATTCTGGCATCCACAATTTCAATTATGGCATCCACAATTTCATTTGGAGAACAACAGACTGCATCACTTTACCATTATAAATAAAAAAAATCAGGGAGGGACTTGTCAAAAAATCACACATTTCATTCATTGAACGGTAATTTACATCTTACATGAAAAGGTGAACTTCTGGAAAAAAATGTACAATTTCATCTACAATGTCATAAACAAATACTCCCTCCATCCACAAAAGTTACACCTATTTCACATTTGAATTATTCCAAATAAGTTGTACCTATTTGTAGTCTTTATGCATTAAGATTTAAATGAAGATATAAATTAAATGTTTTATTAGAACTCAAGGAGTCATCTAAATACTCATTGGTTGCATGGTTACATTCACTACTTGATTTTGTAATATCCAAGGTGATTTAATTTCTCCTTGGTCTTGGTGTCAATTGTAGTTTGTGTAACTTTTGTGGATGGAGGGAGTACATAACTTGGACTTCTCCATCTAATTGAAGTATACTCTCTATTATTCCATATTGATTGAACTGTTATTTCGTTAATCATCATCTTCACACACCCGTTAATCATCATCTTCACACAAGAACTTGCTATACAAATGTAACTTTACAATGTGAAAAAAAATAAATAGTGAAAGTGGACTAGAGTAGAGATTGTGAAGGAAGCTACTGATAAAATATTCTGTCGACAAAATAATGACAAGACTTACCGTCTCAATAAACAACACGGGATGGACTATGAATCATGTGAATAATAGATCAAATTAAGTCCATGGTTTATCTGAACATCTGAAACTGAAAGTAGATTACTCAGAGTTTGTGAGAGAATCTATGAACAAAAAAAATTATGTCATACAAGAAGCACTATGCATACATATGAGCCATGAACTATCTCTCAAATTTAACACCATGGATGCAAAGGAATATGCCTTTCAATCATCAAGTATATCATGGAGTTTCCAGGTTCAGCTTGTAGTGAAGTCTACAAAAGAAATCGTCTTTTGATCTGCTAAGGAAAAGCAAAAGAATAGTGAAACATGATTAATAATGCCCTGTATTGGATATATAGTGAAACAAAATATATATTGACAACAAATACAGAGTTGATCAAGATACGGCAACATGTAAGTTAGCAATCATATATGCATGATATTTTATTGGAAATTAATCAACCTCACCTTGCTAGTAGTAACATGGAGGTGCTTCAGCGGTAACTGAAGTTCCTGAGAATTGATAATCGCATATGTGTCAAATAGCAGCATAAGCCGTCCCTCTAGCTAGTCTGCTAACAGAAACCCTGCATTAAGGTAGGAGGCATACAAAAGCAATCAAAGTCAATATATATCTGTGTATATCTGTTGTGCCTTTTTGGACTTCCGAAATTAAGGGATCCAGTTCATTTTCCAGAAACTAGATTTACATTGAATGCAGTAATGTTGACAACTTTGAGAACATACTTAGCTTTTCAGGAAAGAAAGATCATTAAGAACAATGGCCTCTAATCACAGTCCGAATGAATGTAAATTAAAACTACCAAAGTACACCAAACCAGATGTTCATCACGAATCATCCTAAACCAATGTGTACCTACGTGGATTCTCAATAGAAAGGGAGAACAATGAAATTACCTTTTCTTTGATGAAGCTGTGCAACTCGATCTGATTCCTCACAGCAGGTCAATCCCTTGGCCGTCCTAGCACTTTCTATCAGCCAATCAGGGGATCATACTCTGAATCAGCCAAAAATCAGAGTCTCATCCCTCCACAAATCTACTCCCCACGTGTTCATCTACCTAGCGACTGGCAAGATCTGAATCGAGCCGCGGTGGCTGCAATGGAGTGGCAGCGCAGTGGCGATAGGCAGCAACGGCCAGAAAGGAGAAGCAACTAGAAAGGGTGCAGGACCAGAGCGATGGTGGTCAGCGGTGGCGCGCGGTGGTGGTGGAGGAGGCGCGCCGGCGATCTGGGGAGGGCGCGCAGCGGCGTGCGACTCTGTCGAGGGTTTTGATAGACCCACGACTGTAGTTCCAAAAATAAATAGTGATTATCCTATTAATTAATAATTTTAAAGGATATTATAATGGTGGGTGCTGTTAAGTGGGGAGGTAGCCACGGTTTATCTCTCCATCTCTTTTATCCGACTCTAGGTGATGGGGGATTTCTCGCACGTATGTTGGAATAGTTAGGTAGCGACGGTATGATGACCCGTAGTATTTAAGCCGTCTCTAGTTACCTATTTTGCTGTAGTAATTAGTTGTATTAACTGTTCACCACAAATTGTTTATTGATGTATGTATGTCTACATTGAGTGCTTATCAATAATTGATCAAGCTAGTTTCCACAGTACTGTCTACATATAATCCGTGGTCTGTTGACTTCATAATTTCGTATACCTATCGTCAAAATCCTGTGTCCGCCACTGCCTTGGGCTTTTATGAACTGGGCTTGAAAATGGCTGAACCTGCCCATATGCTGCCAAGTCAAGCTCCTGACATTATCCCATGCAGTGATGCAGAAAAAAAAATAGATCATTTTATCTTAAAAAGAACTTAGAGAACCATAACAATACCATTTTTATTTATTAGAAATATATATACGAGTTCTACACATAGCCATGCATGCTATGTGTAGTATATATGTGATTATTTCTAGGATGGCTCCCAACCTTCTAGTAACGAAAGTATACAAGAACAAAATATGTATACAAACAACTCTTCATCCCCTTATTGAAAGCTAAGGTTGTTCCATCATATAACATCCCAAGGATCATACTGAGACATATCTATCCGTTAATAGCTCTTCAGCCAAAACGACATCTCCTTCGTGAACCTCTCCATCGCTGGCTCTGGCAACAACATCGACACCACAATCGAGTCCTCCCCATTTTCGTTCTTGCATTTCATGTGATAGCTTATCAGCTTCGAGGTGAGGTCTCCGGCGAAAGGCGTGCCGCCGCCGACCATCTCCGCCACCCCACAGCGCAACGCACCGCCTCCTCCACCGACCCATTTCGTGTCAGAAACCTCATACGTCCTGTCCATGGCGAACGCCGGCCGCTCCCGCCATGTCGCCAGGAGATCAACCATCGACTCCACGCGCTCCCTCGTCGTGCCGGCCTTGGCCCTGCACATGAGCTCGACGGTGTCCGCGAGAGGCTGCCGGGCCAGCTCGCCGACGGTGGCCGTCACCATGGGGGAGAGATGCGCGTTCCCGTAGTAGCCCGGCGGCACGGCGGCTTCTTCTTCGCGGCTCCACCATCTCCCTCGTAGATTCAGGGTGAACATGAGGCGCACGCGTCGATCGGGCTCGTACCCCAGCGCCGACGTGCGGCATCGCCACATGACCGCGGTGAGCAGCTCGAATGCCGTGGTGGATCTGGTGAGGTGTGCAGGGATCAGGCTCCGGAGAGCCGAGATCTCTTTTGGCCCGAAGCTGAAGTACTTCATCACCATGGTTTCAGGTGGAGTTGTCAGCATCACATCGTCGACGTCGCCGTCGCCGTCGCCTGCGCTGCTCCGGCCGTCGAGGATCGGCTTGTATGCCGGGTAGACATGGGTGAAGGATGGTGGTGTCCGTGCTGCGAAGAACGACTCTCTGCCCCACACGGGCATGGTGGATGGGATTGGTTCACCGCCGGCGAAACCAGCTATGGTTTTGATGAACTGGAGCAGGCCGAAGGCGTCAAAAATGCAGTGGCACATGTGGAGGCCGATGACAAATCCACCGCATTTCAGTTGAGTCACCTACATATATTCGTTCGAAAGCAGAGATAGGATTAACCAACGGATTGTTAGACATTCAGATCTGAAACATATGTACGTACGCTTAACACAGGGCTAACACAATTTCGGAAGGCCTAAAAAAAAATTCAGGGACTGATAAATCCACAATTTCTGAAAATTTGGAATATTTTCGATCCAAAATAATTTGAATTTTGAATAAACGTTGAGCCAATTTGAATACTACTTCCGTTCCAAATATAGTATCCTAGTGCTAAATGGAACACAACCTAGCTACTACCTCCGTGCATATGACGTGGGCTACTATAAATTTAAACTAGCTAACGTCATATAAAAAACTAGAGGGAGTAGTACTGCTATGCTATGAGCAAAACAGGCTATGTTGTGGGGTTTGTCCAAATTCATAATACTACTACTAACTACTCCTATGTCACATCTAATACTAAAACAAATGGGGTGTTTTTTTTCTTAATTCAGAAAAGAAAAAAGAAACATTAGGCAAAATAGTTTCGCGCTAGGGGGAGATGGGGGACCCGAAATTTAGAAACGAAATTGCAAACCGTGCGCGTAAAATTTTAATGAATCGGTCAGGTAGTAACAGATGCCTTGGTTGTAAATTTAAAATTTGAAAGAAAACATCTGAAAGGCTAATCAATTGAGACATATATATACCTGCAGGAAGAGCAGAGGCTTGTCTAGGATATCCCTAGTGTCGCCGGCATCACCGAGGAACTCCTCGACACACGGATACGGCGGCAGCAGCGGCTCGCCGAGCTCCTCCAGCCGCACGTCGGCGGTGGCCTCGACGAACGCCACCCCTTCCGCCGTGCAGTCCACGGCCAGCTTGTTCCCGCCGGGGACGAGAGCCCGCAGGCGGCCGGCCACAGGGTAGTAGTGCACGAGGGCCTCGGCGACGGCCGCCTTGATCACCTTGGCGGCGATGTTGTCGCCGCCGGGCAGGCCGCCGGCCATCTTGGGGGAGACGCGGAAGAACCCCACGACGGTCTCGTAGTAGCGCAGCGTCCACTGGTCGTCGAGGTCGGACAGCAGCTTGGTCTCACGTGGCGTCGGCCTAGCCGGCGTCACCAGCTCCGGCGAGCTCCGGCGTGCCGTGAAAGTGGCCACCATGGTGCACGACCGACCTGAAACTGGGAGACTGATGAGAAGCTGAAACTTAGCTTAGCTTTGTATAATGAATTCCTCTTTGCCTGATCAGTTGCAGTGGATGGATCAGAGTGATGGAGCTTCAGCCGGTATATATAGTGCGTTTTCTTTCTGCCAACGTTGCATGGGAACGCCTGGAAATGGGTGGAGGCATATATTTTGGTGTTTGCTTTTTCTATAATGTTAAAGGTTTGGAAGATCTCTTGGAAGCTAGCAGCTGGCATGCAGGGCTCTGTCAACTGCTCAAAAGTCTCCAAAGAAATTTCTCCCTTTTAGTCAAGTTGCAGAGCTCATGGGGTGGACCTCGGCCCTTGAATCTGAATGAGTGTTATGACTATCTGAAATTCTGAATAGTCAGTTAGTCAGGAACTAAGTCTTGCATTTGTTATCTCTTCTCTACTGAATTAACCCTATTTAGCGCAATTCCAGGGATCAATCACCCACGCATCCTTCAAACCAATTTGGACAACACAACCTGAACCGAAGCAAAGATTTTTTTTGGTTGGATTTTACTCCACCAAAAGGCCCCAACTGCAGAAAATCTGCTTAAAAGACGATGGCCTTGTCAATTGTGATTGGATATGTTGCCTTTGTACAAGCACTTTTGAAGATACTTGTCATTTAGGCCCTGTTTAGTTCCCAAATTTTTTTTCCTAAAAACATCACATCGAAACTTTAGACACATACATGGAGCATTAAATATAGATAAAATGGAAAACTAATTACGTAGTTAGGGAGGAAATCGCGAGACGAATCTTTTGAGCCTAATTAGTCCATGAGCCATAAGTGCTACAGTAACACACATGTGCTAATGATGGATTAATTAGGCTCAAAAGATTCGTCTTGCGGTTTCTAGGCGAGTTATGAAATTAGATTTTTCATTTATGTCTGAAAACCCCTTTCGACATCGGATCAAACATCCGATGTGATACCAAGAGATTTCATTTTACTTACTAAACAGGGCCTTAGCTAAGGAATGCACCTTCACAATTGCAGTTTGGGGCAAGATCTGTCAATGGCAGGGGCACAGTAACATCCCACAACAATAGACAGCGAATTCCTTAGCAGAATAATGGAATATATGCTACGTCAAGTCTCACCAGCAAATAGACAGAAGAAAATTGTTGGAGACTTATTATTACATGATGGAACATATGGCTTGAGCGTAATGGAAGGATTTTTCAACAGATTGAGAAGAATGATAACCAGGTGGCTTTTTTATCTAAGGAAAATATAAACCAAATAGACCTCTCCAAAAGACCCTTTTAATGGGCTTTGTAGTATCTAGCTGTCTTTTATTTGCCCTGTAAGGCCTCATGGCCTTCTTATGCAGGATTGTAACTGCAATGTAAACATTTCAGCTCCTCCCCTTTTCTAATATATCCGGCAAATCTTTTGCTGCTTTTACTTAAAAAAAAGATTTGTAGAACTAACATTATCTATCCACCTACGGTTATAATTAAGGTTAAATCCAATTTACCCTCCTATTGAAAAAAAATGATTATTTACCCCTACAATACTAGACATTTGAACCCCCAATCATTAAATGTGCAGAAGAAATTATCCCTCTAACCCAAACTAGGGCAGTATCAGTCCTATTTGGCACACATGTGTGGTAACGGTTTCGTGATGTCGCAATACAGTCAGCAAAAGATTAACATAAATCTCTGCTATCTTAGAAGCAGAGTCATCCCCCCTCCCCTTGCGTTCACGCACAACCACCACATTCTCAAGAAAACCAGATAAAAAAAATTAAATGGTTGGTTAAAAAACAAAACAAGAAGAAAAATAATGGATGGTTAGAGAAAATAACTGGTTGGATCTTATGGGCGCAGAACGTTCCCATACATATGGGCCCATTGCAATGCACGGGAATTGTACTATAGTTAAAAAATATTGGTTCAGACCTACATGTTAGTCATTCTTACTCATCTTCCTCCTCTTTTTACCTCTCTCTAAAATAATTTGAGGGCATCACACTCCGGTGAGCAGGGTCCCTTGCGGCCAATCTCTCTTGAGTCTCTTCTCATTCGCATTCTTGCGCAACAACCACTCAAGCTAGTCATCGAGACCGGATCTAGCAGGATAACCGAACCATGCAATGCCGATGAGGAAGCGCAAAGGATAGGAGAAGGGCCCACTACTACAAGGAGCTCTTTAAATTGCAGACGGACTGTAACTGGTTGTGTCTGCAAAAATCCTCCTACCATTTTCATGTGCGGACTGTTAAGAGGACCGCACACGAAAATCGATTTTCACAGGCGGGGCTCATAACGGTTCGCACGCAAAAATAAACCAATTTTTACAGGCGGACCTCATAAGGGGCCGCATGCGGTCCTTTTAAAGGCCTGCCTACAAGTCTATCCTCCCTCCTCTGTCCCTCCTCAACACTTCAAAATTTCAGCCTTATCCTCTCCTTTCCTCTCTCACTCTCTCACCTCTCCCTCACTCTCTCACTCTCCTCTCGCGGTCGGGTGTGGGCGGCGCGGCTGACGACGGGCGGCGGCAACGACCACCTCGGTGGCAGGCGGATCCGCCTCCGCCGGCCTCGTGACGGGCAGCGGGCGGTGCGATCGATGGGGGACGGAAGGCGGTGGCTCCCTTGCCCTCCCCCGCGCAGCTCCGGCAATGAGCTTGAGTGAGAGGCCGACGGGGCTCTCCCCCGCCGTCCCCTGCGCGGATCCAACTGTTGGCAGCGTGGTGGCCGCCGCCGATGACGACGAGGAGGAGGTGGCCGGGAGCGGCATCCTCAGCCCCATGATTGCTGGATCCACGCCACGCTCGCTGACAAGAAGGAGGAGGAGGTTGTCGGAAGCGGCACCGCCCCCGCCGACGACGAAGAAGAGGAGGTGGCCAGGAGCGGCGCCGCCGGCCCCGCCCTGCGTGCACGCGCGCTGGCCAGATCCACGCCCCCTCCCCCTGCCGCTGAGGAGGAGGCGGCCGGGAGCGGCGCCGCCTGGATCCGCACCAGTGCCGCCAGATTCTAGGGTTTTTGTTTTTTTGAATTTTAATTTTTCCGTGCAGGTGCGCCATCCGCACATAAAATTTAGATTTTCACAAACCTTTTGGTGCAGATAGACTGAGCTTCCGCACGTGAAAATAGGTTTCGGCCCGAACAGAAAAATTATTTTTGTACTAGTGGCCTGTCGATGCTAATCAGGGAAGGGACGAGAACGAGGGAGCCAAGATTCGGCTCATCATTACCTAGTCTATGCCGCCTCGTCGTCAATCCCCAAGTCTCCGCTGTTGGCTCACAAATCGCTGCCTTGAGGAGTGAGGCGGTGGCCTAGAAAAAAGTTTCTTATTTTTTTTTGCTGAGAGTAAGTATAATGATAAAAGTTAATTTTTTATGGGATAAAATTTAAAATTCAGAAGTCAAGTTATTTTTTTAATGGAGGAAATACTCTACAAGTACGACCAAGCCCTCCGCGAATAGCGGATTAGCGGACCGCGTGTGATCAATTTCACAACTCCACCGGTGCTTAGCTTGTCTTGGATCGATTCTCGCATGCCGGCCCAAGGAAAAGGCGAGGTTCGTTAGAGCAAGTCTAATAGTACAGCTCACTACTAGCTCTAATTTATCTATAGCCAATCTAATAGCCAATTCATACAATAGTTGCTTACTATACTATTAATATATGGTCCCACCTATCATACACACAGTGTGTCTTGGAGTCCATGCTGCAGCTGGCTACAGATCTGTAGCCCGCTGCTCTTCTCTCTCATCGTTTATCTTATTAAAATATGTTTATAGCTGGCTAATAGCCTGCTATTGTACCTGCTCTACAGTAGCAGGCTATAAGCCAACTGCAAATATATTTTAAGCAGATAAATGAGGAGAGAGAAAGGCAGCGGGCTACAGATTTATAGCCAGCTGTAGCACGAATTCTAAGACGCAGTGTGTGTATGACATGTAGGACCAGATATTAATAGTGTAGTATGTAACTATTGTATGAATAAGCTATTAGATTGACTATAGATAAATTGGAGCTAGCAGTGTACTATACTATTGAACTTGCTCTTGGATCGGCTCGTACCGCCCGTTAATCGTAGTACGTCAGGCACAGCACGCGCACCCCGGGATTGATGGATTCTTCTCGTCCTCGTCCAACAGCTATACCGACGACTGATCATATCTCGGCGCCGATCGATGCCATGCGTTTCTGGGTCCTTCGCCCAGCCGATCGAACGAGTTGCCGGGATTGATCCGTTATTCCTCCATGGAAGACCCGCCATATATATCGGTCGCCTCGCGGCCGACCAAGACATCAGCATCGATCTCCACGCGTCAATTGTTGCTGCCTGTCCAGCTAGCGTGTACACGGGTGTGCTCGATGTAAGACAAAGGATAAACTACAATTAGGCGATGTTATGGCGTACTACAAGCTAGTTTAGGGTGCGTGTGTCCTGATTTGAATCTACTTGCCGGCCCCGTGCAAATACGACCCTCGGTGACAGAGTCTCTTTCAGCTGTGATTGTAGAGGAGTCAGGAGACACGTACTGATTTCAAGCTCGTCCTGCGAAATTTCACGTTGTCCTAACACTCAGCACTTCAGCGTTCTGGGGGCTCCTAAAAGGCTAAAATTGGGTTTCTCAACATCATATCTACTCCTATTCTGCGCAAAAGATGGGTGATTCCTATTCTGCGCGCGCTGGAACGGTAAGGAGCGGCAGGCGTCGGCTCTCTGCTAAGCGCTAGCGCTAATTCTGTAGCGCTTAGTGCTAATCCCTTTCCTAATCCCATCATTTAGTGTTTTTATAATAAAAATTGTAAAAAAAATGTTGAGTTGAAAGTTATAAAATTTGAGTTGGAAGTTTTGAATTTCGGCTTGAAGGTTTTAAATTTTGAGTTGAAAATTTTAAATTTGTGTTGAAAGTTTCACAAATTGAGTTGAAAGTTATGGATTTCAAGTTGAAAGTTTTTGAAATTTGATATGGAAGTTTTGAAATTTGAGTTGAAGGTTTCAAAAATTGATTTGAAAGTTTTAGAATTTGAGATGAAAGCTTCAGAATTTGAAATTTCAAATTTTTAGCAAAAGACGTCGACACCAGCTTAACAAAAAAAAAATTGACATGAAAGATTACCAATTTTAATGCAAATCAGATCAAGTAATTACTGCTATTCAAGATTTTTATTGCTGATGTTTTTCAACGATGGCCCACCAGACCCAACCCCAACCCACATTGCAGATGAATTGTTTTTATTTATATATTTTTTATTAAAATATTTACAAAAAACAATTTTTTTGTTTCGAAAATTTACAAATCTAGTTGCCTCTTGCCCTCTGGGAGTTTAAAAACCGCCCTTCCAGAGAGCGTTAAGGGACCTAAATGCAAATTTTCCAGCATAGCTTGTTAGCTCTATGATTTTATAATTTAAAATTATATTATATAAAGTCAAATGAAATAAAACTTTATATCAAAATTGTAGAGCTCGAGGAGATCTACAATTAACAACTTTTACATTTAAGATCTTTTAGATATCCAAATATTCGTTACAAAATATAAAACCTATTTTTAAAAATCTCAGATCTACATTTCAAACGACATCGGATGGAGATAAACTTTATACAAAAGTTGTAGACCTCGATGAGATCTACAACTTTGTAGTTTATCACTTTTCCATTTAAAATCATTTGAAGTGTTGAATAAGCATTATTAGTATTTAAACAATTAAAACCGGTGGAAATTAGAGGGTTTGAACACAAATAAAAAAATTACATTTAGGTCCCTTATCGCCCTCTGGAAGGACGATTTTTAGGGCGTGAGACGACTTGATTTGTAAATTTTCAAAAGTAAATATTTTAATAAAAAATGTAAAAATAAAAAAAATCCATTGCAGATGACGCTCGCGCCCCCAAGCCCGCATGCAGATGTCCTGGTAGCGACGCGCGTGACTTAGAGATGTCGCGCATCTGCGTACAATAGCTTTTCTGCAAAAGATAATCTTATTTACTCTCACTGCTATAAGGTTGGATACACTTGCCAGATTGCTTCTAATTTTTATCCGTATAAGTTGCACTACCAGACTTCGATCAAGAAAAAAAAACATTTTATCATCAAAACAATTATTTACGCGTGGGTGGGCCGATAAAAAAATACCATGGGAAAGTTTATTTTTTTAGGGTTTCCTCATAGAAAAATAATTTCTATCGACTATTTATGTTGCTGGTGCACAACAAAAATCCACAATGTGGCTGCTAGTAACCTGATTTCTCATCAGAATTCACATCTATTGGTCTAGTATAGGTGCCACTAGCTGCCTCCAGTGCCACATCTATCGTGCTTCTCAATCGATTGGCCGTGTCAATCACCATAGTGATCCGCTTGGCCTCTATATATTGAATCATCTTGACAGTAAAGGCATACAGTTGTTGTGCTGGACAGCTTGGCGTCGCTCTAGGAGCAGCAGGGAGTTCAATGGTTTACAGAAGAAGGTGGTGGCACCGCAGAGTAGCTTTGTGGCGTAATACGGGCGTGCAATTCAGCTGCAGCATAAGGAGTTTTGGATGGTACGGCAGACAACAAACAAAGTAGTTGGTAGAAAATGGTGGTTCTGATCGACAGAGACTGAGATGGTGTTGCGATGGATAGCACAGGGTAGTTCCGGTTCTTCCCTTCCACCCTCTCCGCTGCGATGGGGAGAATTTGTTGTCAATAAAGGTTGAAGCTAAGCCTCCGTGTGAGGTGTGGAGTCTAAGTACTCGTATATATTTTGGCTGTGCATATTCTCCGTGGATATAGAGGCCGGATTAATGAAAAATCCATTATCTAAGAAAATACTCCTATGCTCACTGCTTCTTCTTTTGCTACCATATGCTTCTTATTATCGCCATGTATGTCTATTGCATAAAGGATATTATGAACTTCTCTCATCTCTTTTACACCATGGACTTTCCGTATCTTCTGGAGTATATATTTTATATTTTATATGCTCTTTCAGACTAAGTCAATTGTAAAAGTGTGTATTCTCCAATTTCTTCTCTAACATTTGTCACACGAATATCAGGCTCCGGCTCCGCTCATTAGCAAGAATTATCAGAGTGAACATGACAACAACTTTAGAGACAAGGGTGTTACATGGGTAATCTGGGGATGCCATGAAAGCTTGAGGTTTAGGAGTAATTAGAGCTCGGATTTCGGAATTTGTACAACCCGAAGGCCGTGTCCACATTCGTTGTTAGAATTGGTCTTTTTTAGGACGGAGTAGTATGTAGGTTCTTCAATCCATCGTGTTATTTATCTCAGATAACTTCTAATAAATTGTAAATGACATATGGAGGTCAAGTTGGTCAACTATAAAATTATACGACAAAATTCTAGGCATACATGAAATTTTCTCTAAAACTTGTCATGAACTTGCAGAAAAGCTATTTCTAACAGTGTCACAACAGCAGCCAGTACATGAACATTGTAATCACACCATGACCATATTCATTCACAATGACAATAACTAAAATGGTGATACACCTTTACTGTGGCATTACTCGGTTCAGTTTACATTTATTGGGTAAAATAGTTCAGGAAACAAGTCCCTTGATAGTCATCCTATTTCTGCTCCATGTGCATTCAAGGATTTAGTTTATTTTTCTCACCTCATAATGGTGGCAAATTCTTAACGGTGTGTCCTTAGAAACTGCTCTTTGCTCCGACCACAGTTCCATGTTCAAATGATCAGTTCCCCAATGCAACTTACATATACTAACCTGACTGAGATCGAAGCAATTTACCAGGCTCAGATTCGTACGTTTGTCAACTAGCATCCATTCCCCTGGGAAATTTCAAAATAATTATAAACAACAGAAGTTACGACAATTCGACAAATGATGGTTAAGGCCAATTTTCTACTAAATACTGAAGAGTATTGCATACCATTGGGACGAAGAACTCCCTCAAATGTCAATTCTCCAGAATCTGGAAGTATTTCTCGCTTTATACCGTTGCTTGCTGTAAACACAACAGAAACCTCTGTAGGGTACTGAAGAATGAAACTAGGACGAACCCTCAAACAGGCCAACCTTCAAAGGAAATGCACATTTCCTGGTGTCAGTACAATGTCGTGACCTAAAAACCATTTGTGTTTACCAGATTTCTTCTGGGATCCCATTACAGTCAAGCAGACATGGTTAACAAATAGTAAGACCGCATATTCGCACATGTTATCTCCATGCTTCATGATTCATATGCTAGAGATTTTAAAAAAACAACGGAAAAGGTGCATTATTGTTTCTGGTTACCAGTTTACTATGGATAAATTAAATGATGCTTAGACGCTCACCCTGAAAACCCACCAGAATGATCAGCTCCCTGTTTTGCTCGAATACTGGAGTCGATCTTAACAATCTTTGGGTTTTCCTTACAAATGGATATTTGGCGCTGAAGAACCAAACCACCCCCAATATCTCCTTCCAAACAAATAGATTCCTCTTTTCCTGATTGCTCGCGATACCTCCTATGCATTTTTAGAAATTATGTCAAAACATGAATTTAAGCAATAACACTCATACACCACCAGTCACATATTCTTCTACAGATCAGTGCCATAAGTGCCGCCAACTAGGTTAGAGTGAACACTGAATAAGTAATGAAGTACTCTGCATTTCTCCTACCTAATGACTTTGTACTCTTCTGTGCAGCCAGCAGTATCTTCAGCCGCATTATATTCCTCATACCCATTGATCCTATTTGTGCTGTGTAGCCATTGAGAATCTGCAGAGATCAAGTATAAATTATATATACATTTCCAATCGATGTAATTATTTACATGGATATGATAATTAACTAAAGCTAGAAAAGTTTAACTGACACATATCTTCAAAAGACTTGTATTTTCGACCAGATGCAGTAATAGGATTATCTATCTCTAAACACATCGTATGAGGCATAACCAACAGAAAGTAATATAAATCAATAAGAGCAATACCAGATGGAAGATGTGTCATTGAGATAATACGACCACCGATCTGGGGTACAACTTTAACCAACCAGTCCTCGCCGTTCAAATCAATAGGTATTTCAGAAAGTTCAGCCACTTCCTTCCCTAATGGCTTATCTATGTCTGGAATAGGTCGAACCATCTCTGTATAATGAATGGTAGGAAGATACTAAAGTAAGCCCACAAATAAAATATTTCGGAATAAATAAATGGAAAAACTGGAGATGTAAGAATTCCCTGTTCTAAAACATTTTGAGTACTGTGCAAGTGTGTAGGACTAATACCAAAACGTTTTTTGAGCTCAAGTTCACTTGTTGCCACTAGACTTGACACTTCAGATTCAGTAGGCATTGTTAGATGTAAATCTTCCCCATCAATGCCGTGCGTACTTACCTGTATTTGAAAAACTTATAATTTAATATTCATCTGTGCACATTTGACAAAAACAAGAAGGAACTAATATAATGGACCTACCATAGCACCTCCTCCAAGCAATATATTTATTTTTAAGTTGCGATTTGGTCTCTTCCATGATCCTTCAGTTCGGGCAACTTTAACAGTAACCACTGATGAGTGGAGTTCTGCAACATAGTATGTCAAAAGATAATTCCCTTGAAGGAACTCATATCCATCCCCATCATCTTCAAAGAGGACACCTTCAGCTTTTCCTGTAAAACAGATCTTTTAATTTCCAAACATCGTTTCAACATAAGGCAATCATTGGACAAAGAATATAGCTAACATGCACTGCAGAACGATAGAAGCGCACTTTTCCTCATGGTAGTGACACTAATTTTTGCAACAATATCTACTTATGAAAAATTATATTCAAAATCTACCCATGAAATTGTTGAAAGTCGCATCAGTTATTTTGGCATAACAAAATCTCCCTTGCACATGACAGTTCAATGCATGAGTTAAACTACGCTATTAACTGAGTACATACCATTTTCATCTAATGCAATAATCAATGACAAATTATCATCCAATTTTGCTTCACCAACATGATTGAGAGGAAGGCCTATGGGAAGTACTGCTCCACCTCGTAAATACATCATCGGCAGATCCTGAATAATCAAGTATTGATAAACAAAAAGACTTTTGAAACATGGCTCAATGTATGTCAGCACAACAAATATTCACTAATCAACATACAGGGTGTGAATCTCCAAAATCAAAAGGCAACCAAATTCCCTTTGGCAGCTTCTGTGAAGATTCATGAGCTCCTTTATCAGGACAAGTGCTGCCAAAGTCCCAGAAATTAGAGTTATGGTGAATGTATAGTCCCATAATATGCAAACATATATACTCTATAAAGATATTCCATGATTGAGTGTCTCCTCTCAGAAAATGTAAACTGTGACAAATTAACCATGGTTTTAAATAGGAAGGTGTAAAATCAGCTATCTTATATTCATGTGCACACAAACAAACTAATCTGAAAACCTTATATTCATGTGCACAAAAACAAACTAATCTTAAAACCTTACCTTGCACAAACTAGAAGTGATCCCAAGAGAAATGAGGTCTCAATTTTCCTTAACTCTAAATCTTGTGGATCTACAAAATAAAAAGGATTGTCGTATTAATATAATAATTAATTGGTATCTATACTTTCTATAAAGTTATAGCCCACTAAATCTAAAACTCAACATGTAACTATGCTACATCATCACCCGCTAGAAATAATTGCATATTTAACTCATGCAAGCATACAACATCATCTACAACTTATTTAATTCTACAAATCAACATATAAAGCATATCCAATCATAACCCTTCACATCATTTGCACACTATTTTAACAAATTTATCTATCATTTTTATAATATTTAATGTATAATTATCAATATGTTTCACATTAAGGCGCGGGCGTTATTTGTTTATTTCATGATAAGTACTGATAAACCCCTGATGTTTCATTTTTTTTTCCTTTTTACTCCTAGCTTGATTGAGTATTGTTTAGTAATTTCTGAAGCAAAGCGCGAGGAATCACCTAGTTTGCTAGATTTTAGGCTCCTGAAAATTTGTAAATTTTGTCAACTCAAATTGCACATATATTATCTATGTCTAGTTATAGAACTTATAATTCATCACAAATGATCATCATTTGTTTTCCATAGTAGTGTGACTGTCCATTTTTGTTCTACACATAACCACATAAAAAATAAACATGGGAAAATATGTTGGATTAGCACATGTGACATGTCAACTATGAACTATCCTTACGAAGGGTAGGAGTGCAAATCTCTGGAGAATTACATGGATTTCATCAGTTTTGAAATGTTATAAAAACATAATAGAATTATTACCTGCGAAGTAAACTGGAGCAGCAACAGGAGTTCCGTTCGTATGAGAAAGGTAAAATAGAGTATAAATGTGTGGTAATAGCCGGTACCGTCTTAGTAAAGCAAGGCGACAAACCTCCTCACACTGAAAATTTCACAAAACTCTTACGACAAATCAGCAATCCATAAGGCTTACATAAAACTAACCAAAGGTGAATGTGCTACAATAACTCCACAAAGGAGAAAAGGAATAACAGACTGCATGCAAATTATAGTCATGTATATATATGATGAAATGGATAAAATGCCAAGGATGTATGGCATTACATTGAGTTTACATTTTAAGTCAATGATTACAAATGATAAACAAACAGAAAAATATAGTACAACAAGAAATTCAGTAGCAATTCCATGTTCTCCTGTACAATGGAGCCAGTAACTTTTGGTTGTGGAAATTATTAGTCTTACGGCAAATAAAAAATAATTAAGCAAAATGTGAATTTGCATAATCTTTGAAACGCAACAAGTTCTTTTAGATTTTTCAGGTTTGCACTGTACCTCTTCCCCAAAGGACCACGGCTCATGGTCCAAGCTTCCTTTATCAGAATGGCCACGAGAAAATGGAAACAATGCACCCACTCCCATCCATCTTCCAAAAAGTTTTGGAGTAGCATTCCCAGCAAACCCACCAATATCTGGGCCTGCAAATGGTTGACCACTAAGACCCTGACCGAACAACCACATTATTAGATATTTTGATCATATAAGTTTTCTACTAATAAGTGAGGGAGTCTTACTATTCTGCTCACCAAATCAACAATATTTTTCTCAAAGTAATGCATAAACAATAATAACAGCATCACAGTGAAAAATAACTGTACAAACAAGAAAAAATTGCGCTTAACACAGGCTGAAGTGATGGTCTCTCAACAAAAATAGTGTTCTACCCATAATTCTTACCTAGAATTATGGTCTAAAACTCACAGTAAAATTGAATTTCATAGTTCAAGATATTATATTTGGTCCTAATTTTTTATAGGCATGTACATATGTTTTTGTGCAATAATTTTTGGTTGTCTGCACCATGCAAAGCCGGAAGTGGCAATACCAGCACCAGTCTCATGAACCATAGTTCACAATGCTGACAAGCCAACGATCTTCCTATGTGTAGCATGGAGCCTATGCACCATCAGTTCTTCTATGTTAACACCATTATTCCTCTTAGCTGGCCACCTCTCTCACACGACGAGGACCAGGGATTTGTTCATAGGCCTTGTTTGCATATAGCAAAATCCTGACCCATCCACATGTGAGCTGGGAGTTTAGCTCAAAATCCTGGCCCATACATGTGGATAGGCTGAAATTTAGGCCCATCCAAACAAGACCTTACCAGTAGAGCAGGCTCTATGTTCACACTGCAAGTGAGCTCAGAGACATGTCCCGACCTCTTTTGTGGCTTCAGAATGCACAGACTGTTCCACTATGTTCCTCCCCAATGACCACTCTCCTCAGCTCACTTTGCACAGAGACTGGTCAGTAGGGATAAATTGTTCCTTTTTTACTAGTTTTGGCATTCCAACCATAATGTACATTTACTATTCAATTTTCTTCAAAACTACCTGTTCATCAATAGAAAAATGCTTTTTACAAATTTTGTTGCTTAATCGTTATTGTAAAATATAGCTCTCTTAATATAAAAAATCAGAACTTGTGCATATGTTATCCTTGTTAAACCTTGCATATTGCTGACTATATGTTATGTGGGGAATTCCATTTCGCCGCCGCAGGGATCGGGATGAACACCGTGCCGGACGGGCTACAGTGCCACGCACGGGTGAGGATTAAGCAAGGTTGTTAGAGGTTGTTTAGATAAGATGTTATCCCTTTCTTTTAGCTCAATTAGTTCAGATTGTAAGGCTATTTAGAGCCGGCAGATTATGGTTAATGACAACAAGAAATTTATCCCAACTACTCCTTCCAATCTATCTCTGTTCTCCTCTGTTCTTGCTCTCTGTTCCTGGCGAGTTTATGCGAGTGTGAGTTGGGAGCAATTCACCCTCGCTCCTAACACTATACCATTCGATGCATTAAAGTCTTGCTATGTAGAAAAATATTCACTCTTGCTTGTTATCATTTGTTTCCACAGGTATTTATCTATCCTATGGATTGGCCGTGGCAGGCTTACCGGATTTTGATGCCTCGTTGTTATTTATTTCTGCTGCTATTTATCTATCATTTTGTTAGACTATTTAACATGCCTCGTTGTGATTTAGACTATTTTGATGCCAATATTGAACATGTGTGTGCTAGCAATCAATCATGGAAGCAGAATAGTATACACAACATTCAAAGCCAAAACAAGGTTCAACATACATAATCTTTAGTGTCAGCATCTACAGATAATTTTTTACCCAGTGGCATGGGTGGCGGTCTAGTCTACGGATTGATAGCCACTAAGATATTTGTTCTTGTTTGGCTGTGTGCATTTTATGCAGAGGCCGGGGGTGACTCAGTTTGATTGTATCATCTTGATGTAATTAACTGAGTCTAAATAAAGCTTCCATTATCTAAAAAAACAGATAATTTTCCCTAGTTCTTGACGAAAATGTAAATATATATTTATAAGAAAATGGATGACAACAAATCCTAACGTTGTCCATTTTTTGTGAAAAGGGGGCATTTTGTAAACTTGCATAAATATATCACTTACCAACTGAAGAACCATGGCTATACTCATGTGGAGATGTTCCCAGTTTGATACATTATCACCAGTCCACATAGCAGCATAGCGTTGTTGTCCTATAAAACCAGCTCGAGTAAGAACAAATGGCCGTTTAGTTGGATTGGCCAATTTCATTCCCTCATAAGTAGATTTTGCCATGAGCATTCCATAGACCTGACAGTTATACAACAAAAGGTTAGAAGTCAGACTAGATTTTGTAGGTGAGCTTACCAAGGGTTAAAATGTTACGTTATGGTAGTACGGATGATTCTGGAGACCACCAATATTAGCATCTCCTCTATGGATATTGCTTTCTGGCATTGTTTTGGTGGCAGTCTGGATGTGACAAACACTTCCAATGTAAGAGAAGAGCAAGATGAAACCAGTTGAAATAAAACAAATGATTTATGGCAGATCATGTACATTAAAAACAGCAGGTTCATTCATATCATTCCATAATCCATCAACGCTATTAGAGACGAACTGCCTTACTAAGCCAGACCACCAGGAGCGGGCTCTTTCACAAGTAAAATCAGGGAAAACACAATCACCAGGCCATACTTCTCCTACACAATATGAGTAAAAGAGACCCATCAATTAGTGATATGTTCATCACGGTAATGAAGGAGTTCATTCATTGGAGGAAATATACCAACGAACGGCTGCTTGTCTTCCTTTTGAACCCAAACATCACTTTCTAAACCGCTATCAAACACAAAGTAACCGCTCTCATTCTTGATTCCTGGGTCAAGCATCCATATTGCTTTGCAGCCAACCGAATGGAGATCATCAACCATACATTTCGGATCAGGGAAACGATGCTGTAAAATATCAGATCTCAAATGAATTCAATGGGTAAGTTTCAGGTAAAACAAACATTTTATCAGACAATAGGTAAATATTTTAGATCTAAAAATGAATCTAGATGTAGTACGGAAGAGTAGGGCAAACAGAGCAGCCTGGAGACAACAGTTATAAAGCAATCACAAAAAATAGGGCAAACAGAGCAAGCTGGGGACATCAGTTCAAAAGGCAGTCACCGAAACTTTGAATTTAACTTGCAGCCAACAGGATTCCAGCAATAGTAGAGGAATAGTCAACTTATATAGATTTAGGCCCAGTTTAGATCCCACCCCCAAACTTTACACCCTGTCACATCAAACGTTTGAACACCTGTATGAAGTATAAAAAATAGTCTAAAAAATGACTAATTGCACAGATTGCGACTAATTTGCAAGACGAATCTTTTAAGCTTAATTGCTTCATGATTTGACAATGTGGTGCTACAGTAAACCTGTGCTAATGACGGATTAATTAGGCCTAATAAATTCATCTCGCGGTTTACTGATGGATTCTGTAATTAGTTTTTTATTAGTGCCCAAACACCCCATGCGACACCCTATATAATATCCGATGTGACACGCCAAAACTTTACTCCCCTAGATCTAAACGTAGGCTGTGAACTGTGGTGCTTTTGCAGCAGTATACTACTACTTCACATGTACAAGCAGAAACATCATGTAGAATTCAGCAATAACACTTCACTGCAGTTTTTGCATCAAACAAGATGAAACATAATCAACTGACAAAGGGCAGAAATGTTCTTACGCTAAACGTAAAGCACCTAAAACCATCCATGTAATCAATATCCATCCATACAACATCACAAGGAATGCCTCTTTCTCTAAATGTTTTAACAACCTGCAACAGAAAAAAAAACATATCAGTGTTAAAACATCATCGCTGGGCCCTTTTCAAAATAAATGTGCTTGACCCCTCTAGCATCTTTCCCAACTCAACTCTGGAGTATAGCCTCAATGAAGCCCAAATTATTGATCAAATAACATTTTAAATTTTAAAACAAATCTAGTAAAAGTTTTCCTGAGTTATCTGAAAACTTCAACAAGATTAGTGAACATCAAATGTCTTATTGAGAGTGAGCTGAATTCTAGTAATATCCCTAATTATCGATTTAGGAGAAATTTTACAGTCCTTGAGAGGTACTAAATTTTTTTATGCAAATTTGGTACCTCCTAGTACCAGACTTACCAAGAGATACCAAATTTTATACTAGAAAATATGGTATCTACTGGTACCGTCCTTAAGGACTACAAAATTACTCATTAAGTAGAGTTTAGATATGCTAACACATAATAGAATAAGGTATCTACAGTGCTCAAATTCATGGACACACAATGACACCATTCTGCAGGTTGATGTTCAGGGACATATATTACAATTGAATTTGTAAACATCCAATGGGAAAGAAAATACCTGCAGTACTTTCTCAGAAGAGTCATAGCTATAACGACATTGATGGTATCCGAGTGACCATTTTGGTGGCATGGACACAGTTCCTACAAAATAGAATTTCCTTTCAGGTTATCTGTAGGTGGAACCAAGTAAAATAAAATCCAAATTTCAACTGTGTACACAGACAGTACCAATTAAATAGAGAACAAAATAAAATATGTTTGGTCTTTTTCCAATAATGTGCAGGGCATCCAGTAACAGGAACCTTCAGTCGTTCTAGTGCTATGTAGAGAACACTAGTTATATCACTCATTCAATGTCTTGAAATGCACAACTAATACTATCAGATATATTGAGTAACAACTAAATATAATTCAACAATGCTATGAGATTAGCTAAATTACTCACGTTAAATGGAAGTACATTCGTAACATACTAACACAAAAAAAATTCCATACAAGTCCGCATTTATAACTACGAAATTTTATGTCTGCAAAACATTTGTCACATAATAAATCCCAAGTGTTTAAACTTTTAAATGAAAAGAGAATGATCAGGACATATACCAATTGCATGAGACAAGGATGTGGTAACTTCAGAGGGTGTATTAAAAGGTCCAAACAGTATGACAGGGTAAGTGCATGAAGCAGAAAATTTCATAGTAGATTCTTGCCGTAAGTCAATCTGTCATGTTAGTATATGCTCATTAGTGAGATAGCTGAAAAGTGAATTATGGACAAAGTAAGCTATAGAAATGCAGCACGTATACCTCACAGCGGCAAGTAGTGTCAGCAAGGACTCCCAATGCCTTCCCATCAGGAAGAACAGCCAGTACCCAAGGGTGTGACTGATATAGTGATGTGGTTCCTGGACCATAATCCCATGCATCCGTGTTCCAAGTAATAACCTAACCAATGTTTCATAGATCAAATTTATGGAAACAGAAGGTTAATGACTAATTTCTCAAAAATATGACATACCAGCTTTCCAGTTCTCTCAAGTGGCCCACTTGATTCTCCAGTACCATAGAAAGATGTCCCAGAAGGAAGCTATTTATTTAAAGTAAGACTAGTAAGCCCATATGTATCAAGTTCTGAAGGAAACAGTATCAGAGATATATGGACATCTCTCTCAAAAAAAAAACAGAGACATGTACACATCATGACTAAACACAATAAATGGACCATCGATTTTGGACTACATCGCACGGTAAAAAATTAACCACTAACCGTTAACCATCAATTTAGGACTTCATACATAGTTATGCCTGTCAGGTATGCCAAAGAAGCATGCAAATTTTATACGGGATTGATTAAGGCATTGAGCCAGAATCTGTTCGGAGTACACAATGCATCCTTGGAACTTTACGCAAAAAAGTAGCATATGCGCATGTACCATGATTTAAATGAATCGCATTTGTACTAATTACTTACATGCCAGTAGAACATTAGAATATTAGTAGAATAACAATTAGCAGCTTAACATTGATCTTACAGCATATAAAATGGTGAATGTAATAAAAGCGCAACCGCTCTCTGTTTTGGGAGTTTTTTTCCCCACAGGGAAAGGACTTTTTAGCTCTTTATTCTTTACCTATTGTCCTACTCCGAGGTTCCAAGATATAGAACTACTATTCATCATCTCAGATCAAGAAAGCATATGAGTGATGTTTGACTTGATGGATTATTACAAAACTATGTTCCCAGGAATGCGAGGCAAACATAACAGTCGCATTAGCACTTAATGTATGATCGATGCAACAAAACATTTGTGGAAATTGAACATGTTTATCCCTAAGAATAATGTAAGGCATCTGAATACAAAACAGAGAAAAATTAATATATCAACATCTGATGAGCATGTGTATTACTCAGAAAATCTCTCAAGGAAAATAAGCTGACATTGCACACAAAGTTACAACTTCTACCAACTACCGTTTTGCATATGCAAGTAATTGTGAAGCTACATGAAAGCATCTTCCCCAACCTAGACAAAAATGAATTTTATGCACTTTGGGGCATTTGCACTATTAGGATTTTAAGAAAGAGTATTGATTTTTGACAAAGAGAGTTTTATTGATCTTAGACAATTACATCAAGAGAATACAATCACTCTAAGACCACCCTCGGCCTTTGCATAGCTAGGATGCACACAGGCTATCATTATTATAAAAGAAAAGAAAAAAGAGCGACGCAACTACTATAGTCGTGCCGCGGCGAACTACAACCACAAGAAAGAGTATTGGTCAAGTTTGCGTTTTTTTATAATGTGTATACATAAACTATTCAGTACACATGATCATTTATGCATATGTGTTGTATATTCATGAACTGTTTACTGTATTCACAAGAGTAAATGAAGCTAGCTGAACTGTGATGCATCTATATTTTCTAGGAAATATACAAATACAAATTCGAATATACATCAAGCGTATTATAGCAGCATAGTAGATAACAAATACTCCCTCTATTAAATCACTTTGACTTTTTTCCTAGTCAAGTTTGACCAACTTTATAGAAAAATATAGCGATATTTTCAACCTAAAATAAACATATTATAAAAATATATTAGATATAGATTTTAATAAAACTAATTTGATATTGTAGATGCTGCTAAATTTTTCTATAAACTTAGTCCAATTTAGAAAAGTTTAACTTAAAAAAAGTCAAAACGACTTATAAAATGAAACGGAGGGAGTTGCTTAGATAGTTAGATGAATTCCAGCAGTGTAATCATTGATCATAACTCCAATATTAAAAATAAGGCAAAATTTGCTATAGGACACTCAAAAAATGTGTAATTAACCATGGGACACCACAAAAATGTGAATTGGCTGTAAGACATTGCAAAAGAGTGGTAATTTGCTACAAGACACCGAATGTATTATTTTATTATTTCCGAACAACATGGAGAGAGAAACAATCCAAAAAGACCAAATTGCCCTATGTGGGCCAAGTATGTCAGCCTCTCCTCTATTTTCATGTCCTCTTCCTCCCAATGAGACCCATCGCACACAGTGCGGCGCCGACGCCGTCCTTCTCCGCCGCACCGGCGGGCTCATACGTGAACGAGGCCTGGTCGTCGATGGCCCTGATGACGCCGACCGCGCACAGCAGCAGCAGCGCAATGTCGTAGCAGGCGCACGCCTTGCCGTCACGCAGCGCTGCTCCAGCTCCTGCCGCGCCGCGCTCTCTGCCCGCGCCGTCGCCGCTCTCGCCGCCGTCACCGCGGACACCCGCGTCGTGCCCGCTCTGCCGTGCCGCACCCGCGCCCTCGCCGCCCTCACCGCCGCCGCGCCAGCCCGATGTCGACTGTCGAGGACTAGAACGTGGAGCCGCAGGAGGAGGCGGCGCCACCGCGGCGGTGTCCGATGAGGCCGCGACCAGCGGCTTGGCTGGTTCAAGAGCACGCAGCGCAGCGGCGCCGCAGCAACCGACGAGGATGAGGATGCCAACACGAGGTGGCATTCACTGGTCTCCGTCCCCTCTCAGCCTCTCCGCCTGGCCCAGGAAAAGATTTGGGGAAGCAAGCGAGCAGTGCGTGCATGCGTGAGGAGAGCGGCCAGGCTCAGCAGGGCTTCTCGCCGTGGCTGCCGGAGCCGACACCCGAGGCGGCTACTACTGCTGCGAGGTCTGTTGCTCCGGGCGGAATCTAATGCGCCTGCGCCGCCGCCGTGCCAGACGGCGGCTTCTTGATGGCGTGCGACTCCACAAGAAAAACGACGCGGGGCCATTTCGGTACTCTCAACTCTTTTTCTCCCTTCATTTCCATCGGAAATAATTAAATAATATCGCTGGTGTCTAGTAGCTAATTACCACTCTTTTGTGGTGTGCTATAGCCAATTCACGCTTTTGAGGTGTTATACGGCTAATTACACGTTTTTTAAGTGTCACGTAGCAAATTTTGCCTAAAAATAAACATGTGTACATGCTAGCTTACATGTCTTAGTTATACTAACCAGTTTTGGTCCTGAATTTATGTTCATTTTAAACCTGATCACACCGAAGTTACTCTCACCTAGCATCAGGATTCTTTTTTTCTCGTCTCCCTTCAAAATATTAGGGGTGCTAGAGTAACCAGTATCTAGATATGTACCGCAAAATCTCTTGCTAAAAGAGTTTCAAATTATAAACAAATTTTAACTGAAATTCAACCAGTTTGAACATAACTCAACCAAATTTAAATAAAGTTGAATACAAACAAAACTTTCCAAGATGGGGAGGTCACACCAATAAAGTAATTCATGCCTAGCATTATGCATCAAGCCAATAAGAAAAATAATTTTAAAAAACTAAAAGTTCAATAGAAAATTTTTAAATTAAAATTACAGTTCTTTTGTACTATGCAAGTTTAGTTATGCGATGTGTAAATTGATCATTTTTTTTCTATAAACAAGAAAAAATTTATAAATAGCAAAACTATTCTTATACTCCCTCCTCCGTTTCATCAGATTATAAGACGCAAACTGTTTCAAATCTGACTAAGATTATAGATAAATATAGTAATAGTTATAAGTATAATACTAAATTAGTTTCATCAAATCAATAATTGAATAAATTTTCATAATAAATTTGTCTTGGGTTGAAAATGTTACTACTTTTTTCTACAAACTTGGTCAAACTTAAAACAGTTTGACTTTGAACAAAATCAAAACGTCTTATGACATGAAACTGAAAGAGTGCTTGCTTAGATGTGTTATCACCGGTTTATTTTCACTTGAATTTGTGTTCATCCTAATCCTGATCACAGGTTCAATAGGTCACAGGCTCAATGCTGCTCCCGCGAGCATCAGAAAACACAAAATCCTGACGCTCAGAACCCCGGCACGAACAACTGAACCGCGCGTGAGCCTCGGCCTCGCCGCAAATTAAACCCGCCCTAATTAATTTGCCATACGGCCATACCTCAACCACGACGCGCTGGACATCTCCCACCACCTCGCACACCGGCACGATCGCCGGGCGGTCCCCTCCGGCGCGCGGCTCCTCTCGCCGCCGCGGCACGGCGAACGAGAGGCTGGGCCCCGCCGCCGCCCGCGCGGCCTCCGACGCGTCGAACCGGAACACCCCCTCCTCCAGTATCCGCACCCACACCATCGCTTCCTTCCCCGACGCCGCCATCCTCGTCGTCGCGCCGCCTGCGTGTCGCCGCCGTCTCCCGGAAGCGGAAGTGGCGCCATCGGTCGCTGCTTGCTGTCGTATACAAAATATAGGAGCTGAGTCGGTTGCGTGCGCGGTGGGCTGCTTGCGTGGAATCGGATTGTTTAATGGCAAGAGGGGTGGGAGTGGAGCAGCAGGTAGAGACCACGGTGACGACATCCATGGCGGACGGCGGAATGCGAGTGCGCGCGTGCGTGGGTTTTCCTATGGTTTGCGGGGAAACTACAGGCCTGTGGGAGTTTGGGGATGAAAAGGTGAAATCAGAGCTATTTTTAAATCAGAATCGCTAACCTAGTTAATGGCTTTTCTAGAGCTCTAATTACTAAATTTTACTCTAGGAGTTAGATCTGGAGTAGAGTTGTGGAGCTGCATAAACCCAGTTTCACCTTTCTAGTTCATTTTGTGAGAAAGCTCCACCTAATTACACTCCCATTTTAAATAGAGCTAAAACTGTTTGGCTGAGCTCCAGCTCCAAGAGAGGTGAAGCTGGAGCTGTGCCAAACAGACCCTAAGATTTTCGTCAGCCACATGACTTTGTGATTCGTGCTCTAAATCCTCCTGCTCGAACGACATCCTCTTCTCCTATACTCCCTCTGTCCCATAAAAAACCAACATAGTATCGGATGTAACACATTCTAATACTATAAATCTGGACATACATATGTCCAGATTCATCGTATTAGAATATGTCACATCCGGTCCTAGATTCGTTTTTTTATGGGACGGAGAGATACTCCACAACACGCATACACACGTGTGCACAACCAGATCCTAACACATGCTAGGATTGATATTGAAGGTACTAGGCCTAAGTACACAGGAAACATGCACTACCACTGAATATGTACCTGCGTGTATTCTATTACCTAGCTAGGACCAACCGAAATTGATCCCGAGGAAACATGGAAAAGACCCCTAGCGAGATACGCGAGTTGCGATCCTAGGAATCGAACTAGCGTGGGCTGCTCGCTCACCTAGCGAGGCTAGACACCCAAACAAAGCTCGGTTTTCTCCTCTTCTCCGATACTAATGACACCCAAAACTCCAACAAACCTATGGATTAGGACCTCTTCCCTTATCCTCCTCCTCTCTTTGCTTATCCTCTCCCTTTTCTCTCTTTGCCTTATCCTCTCAAGCAAGCGAGCAGGCGAGTGCGCGAGGGAGCTAGCGAGGTGTGGTGGCAAAGGGAGGCGCGGTGGGCGACGGCCTATGGCCCGCCCGCCGGCTGGCATGGAGGGCCGCGCGGTAGGTGGCGGCCTGCGCGGTGGCGGCCGGTGGCCTGCGTCTCTGCTAGATCTGAGATTTTTTTTTTTAGAATTTGTGATTCATCTGTGATGTATTTGATTTTTGTACAATTCGAATATGTGATGTATTTGTTATGAATTTTTAGAACTTGTGATGTAATTTTGTTTAGAATTTGTGATGTATTTGAACATGATCGATTTGAGGATTTGAAGATGATCCTTTTTTTATGTGATTTGTGAGGATCGATTAGGATTTCACGATTTGGGGATGGAGCAAAATCAATATTCAATGTTAAAAACAATGGAAAAAAGAAAAAAAACTAGCAACCGGACTTGGTCTAGCTCCATTTTTAGTCCCGGTTGGTAACACTAATCGGGTAAATTTTTAATCCGGTTATTTCACCCTGAACTAAAAATGTCCATCCCCAAATTTCCGCAAAACTTGCCGAACGAACCGAACTATTCATCCTAAGCACTGGAAGTCTAAGTCTGGGAACATCGAAGTAAAGCCTCAAATATGGCGAGCAGAGAACATATTCGGTGTGTTGTTTGGTGCAGTGACATGCACGTAGACCAAAATTACCATGTATGAAAGCATAAACTTGTGGTGTGTGATGTGAGAAGGAAACTGTTCGACCGGACGAGACGCCAGCATGGCGATCGGTTTGCTAAATGACAGCATAGCCTCAGGTTTGTATCCCTTCTAATTACTACTAGTTTGGTTTGTTTCAAGGATTAGATCAATGTACGCAAGCCGGCGTCCTATACAACGATGGGGTATTTCATATTGCCATCAATCAAGAATCAAGTTATCTCCTCTGTTTCCCATGTTCAATAATCTCCAATTCTCCACCAACACGACTTTCCCATCGAGCACATCTATGCAGTAAGTAGTCTTAGTCTGCCGCCAAGCCACAACAAGGTGCATAGTATCATACATACATATATACATTTATACATCTTACAATGAAGGTGTTGTGTCGGTATAATGTCGTTCTTCTTCTTCATTTTTGTTGTGTGTGTGGGTGGGTAGGGGGTGGGGGAATGGATAATGTGTACCTGAGTGCCACTTCTCTGACTCACTATTTGTGTTCGGCACCACATGTTCCCAACTCCTCTCCCTCGTATTCCACGCGCACGCTTTTCAAACTGCTAAACGGTGTATTTTTTGCAAAAAGTTTATATATGAAAGTTATTTAAAAAAATATATTGATCCATTTTTTTAAAAAAATAGCTAATACTTAATTAATCACGTGCTAATAGACTGTTTCGTTTTTCGTGCCCCGGAGATTGGTTCCCATCTCCTTGAGGCTTCAGCTATTTCTGGTTTTTTGAACTGAAACTATTGGATTGATTTGAATTGGAAATTTCAAGTCTGGGTGTTGTGATGTGCAAGAATACGCAGGATAGGGGGGCAAATTGACTCAGCTCTAACGTGCAAAAGGCAAGTCATGTGTTGCATCACTTTTAACCCACTTCTCTTGTCGAGAATGCATCTCTTTGACGAGAAATATAAACATCGCCAACGTCTCTAGCTTCACCATTTTCAGTTCTAGTTCTACAAATACACTCACCGTTTTCTTACCATTCCAGTTCTACAAATCATAGTTATAGTATATGTCACCACTAACATGTAAGATTGATATAGGTGTACGAGTGGGACCAAATGTGGTCACACCACTTAAAAGAGTACTCCTTCCATCTTAACTATAGGTTAACTTATTTTAAGACAAAGGGGTACCTGTTTAGATTCAGGTGTAGCCCTTGCATGCACGGATACACTGGATGGGACCAGGGATCACCAAACTATTTTGGGTGGGATTACTGCCACCTCACAGTTTAGCGGCTACCGCGGTAACCGCGAGGTTAACTTGAAAACAGTGCGGTTACCGCGATGTATACCGTGGTTTCAAAAACTGACAAGGTTACCACATGGTTTTATAAACTTGGATGGGGCTTTAGAGTTTTTTTTAAAGATGCTAATATGTACGAATCCTGAAACATATAATAAATTATGCGCACATCGATCCATCCATCCTCAATCGTTCATTGCTTGCTAGTCCAGATAGTAACAGAGTGAAAGGTGATTTTAATCATGGTATGGAACCACTAAAAAATTGCATATAGTTCCAGAAGGCAAACACACTAGTGGAGAAACCGTTTGGAGTCCTGGTTCGTAACCCCCATTTAGTCCCGGTTTTCGCTACCTTTAGTCCCGGGTGAAATAACCGGAACTAAAGATCGATCTTAAAGATGGCTCAGCCACATGGCCGGCTGAGCCATCTTTAGTTCCGGTTGGTGTTACCAACTGGGATTAAAGATTGAGCTGACCTTTTTTTATTTGCATGGCCCTGTTGCTGCATGGTTTATATATTTATATATATATATAGATATATTATATTTATATATGTTTCAATACTTATACATGCATAATATATTAGAAACTATTAAGCGCGGCGCCTTGGGCGGCCGATGGGCTATGCCACGTCGGACAGCTACAGTGCGAGGGTAGAAATTTTTCGAAAAAGCCCTTTCATTTTCTGTAATCAGATATAGGCCCCTCATGTGCTGTCTTTGGAGAGAAAAAATCGCGATAGGGACTTCGTTGTGATATGTGGAAGGTGAGGGGCTTTTACAGCGCGGCGCCCTGGGCGGCCGATGGGCTATGCCACGTCGGACAGCTACAGTGCGAGGGTAGAAATTTTTCAAAAAAGCCCTTTTATTTTCTATAATCAGATATAGGCCTCTCATGTGCTGTCTTTGGAGAGAAAAAATCGCGATAGGGACTTCGTTGTGATATGTGGAAGGTGAGGGGCTTTTACGCAAAAATACATCCACTAACTCTTTACCCCTCGAACCCTAGCCGCCGCCAGCTGCTCCCTCTCCCTCTCCCGCTCCCTCTCTCGCGCCGCCGCCGCCGCCGCCTCTGCCTCCCCCGTCGCCTCGCGCCGCCACCACCCCCTCGCGCCGCCACTACCACTCCCGCTGCTGTTGCCGGCCCCTCAAACCCTAGCGCCTCCTCCTCCGCCACTACCGGCGCCGTTTCTGAGCGCCTCCCCTCACGCCGCCGTCTCCGCCTCCACCTCCGCCGCCGCCGCCTCCACCCCCACCGCCGCCGCGTCCACCTCCACCGCCGCCACCTCCGCCTCCCCCTTGTGCCGTCGCCGTCGCCGTCGTCGAGAGCAGCCTTGTCCGCCTCCGCCACCACCGTCAACGTCGCCTCTGTGCGATCTCTGTCGGTTGGAGCTCAAGCTGAGTTTCTTCACCGCGCGCGCGGCTGCCATCTACACCAGATCGGTGGCGGATCGGGCAAACGGGTTCCATTACAGCAGGGGGATCTACTGGCGGCGCAAACAAGCTCCAGATACGGCAGCGGCTGCGTCTTCAAGGCGACGGTGTAAATGATGATTTTTTTGCCGCGCCAATGTTTCGTCTTCCTTGCTTGGCTCGTCTTCCCTGCTCATCCCCTTTTATGTTTCCTGTTCAGGCCTTGAAGCTCCTCCTGCCCCTCGTCTTCCTGCTCGGTCTCCATCGCCCCGGTACGTTTGCCTACTCGCCTCACCTCTCCCCTCTCACCTCGGATCTGTAAACTCATCTCCTGCTTGCCTTCTTAACTGTCAGCAGGGCATGGATCGGAGGAGCACGATGCGGTTGTCATTAGCACTGTATGATTTAATCAACACATTTCTTTTTCCTCCTGATGAATTTCATTCTTGCTGCATTTCAAAATTACTTCCTTTTTTCTCTTTCAGTGCTCTGATGTATGTGTCCTTTTAATTAGGCATTGGGGTTTAGCTAGCACAAGCATCTGGATGGGAGGATGAAGCACAAGCTACTGAAGGTAATGCTGCTAGCTGCTTCTGCCCATTGCTTGATTCATACTTATAATTCTTAGTCATCGATAATTTTCCAATTTGACATTCTGTTCTGCCAATTGGAAGATTTGTGTCGCTCTGGACTCTGGAGTAAGAATGACCTTCTCAATATAAAATTCTAAATTTTTAGGAGGGTTTTACGGGTAGCTTTCTATAAGAAAAAACAAGATGGCATCAGTCACCTTTAACATTTTTAGTTTTAGGAAGTTCATGCATTCTGTGTGTGTGCGAGCGCACTTGCTGCCGCTTTACTGCCTTCTGCCTTGTTAAGCAGGGGTCCTCACTCTACACTGTAAGCCAGGGCATTGTTGCTATTCTGGTATTGCCACCCCAAAAATCTTCTTAATTTGGCAATGTCACTGATAGATGGATTTAGATTGTTGCTGGTGTGAGCAACATTTCAGGTGAACTGCATATCTTTCCATTGTATTGCTCAAAACTGCTCCTGTTTCTGTTCCGTTTATTTTTTCAGGCCTTACATTGTTGCTTTGCTTTCATCCTAGCTTAGACCCGATTTTCAACTAACATGTTTTTTTGGACAAAAAGGTACTAATTTACCCTTGTGCTACTCTATGTATAAATGTATATATCTTTCCAATAAGCAGTGCCTGACTGTTGCACCTCCACCGACTTCTTCCACCGTGGAGCCGGGCCACCGAGGCGCTGCCGACGGGTATCAAATCCAGCAACATAACGGTCAAAGAAGAAAGGACAGAGGTGGCCAGCAACGGCGGCGACAACGTCCACAAAGGCAGTGGTGAGCATGAAAACTTACTGCTATTGCTGCTGGTGTGTTGTTTTCTCTTTATACTTACTGCTATTGCTGCTGTTGGTGTGTTCTTGCTAGGAGGGAGTGGAAGAGGAGATGGGGATGAAGACCCGCTGGACTTCATCATCGACGTGGACTTAGTGAAGTAATAAAGTTAGCAAGCACGCTTATTTACGATATTCTGGTGACATCAGGAAAGCTATCAATCAAGTACCTTAAATTCTTGTGAACAAGGTGCCGTGTACAATATCAGCTCTGATAGGTATCCTCCTTGCTCTATCTCTGCTTTATTTTTTCGTTCTAATTTTGTTGTTGGGTTACAGATATTGCTACTTCTACTCGCACCTTCACGACTGCTAGATTGCATACTTTATTTCTTCTGTGTTTATGTATTAAAAAACTTTATAATCAGTACATGAAGATTCATTTCATCAATTAGTTCCAAAGTTCACATTTCTATGGGATCGAATATCTTCGGTTTGACACATGGAAAACACTCTGATTGTGATATTAAATATTGTTTTTATGGACCAAATAAATATTATGGGAAAACTATTCCCAGTTTTTCATTTCCTGTTAACTATTGCATTTCTTAAATTAAAACCTGATTGTTTATGAAATGTTGCAGATACAAGGAGATACTGAATACACTTGATCTTAGAAAGGACTTCTTTTTCAGTTACTCATACCATATCATGACAAGTCTTCAAAAAACTTGAGTGATCCACAGGAAGGCTGGAGCGTATATGAGTCAACTTTTGTGTGGAATGAATGTGTTACACAAGGGATACACAATTTTCTTGGAAGTACTTTGTGGACCGTTGCGTTGGTCTATGGATTTTTTAAGCAGGTATTTCTCATTGGAATTAGTTTTGTGAAAGTTTATTATATCCATCTATAAATATTTTTAATAGGAACAACTGAATTATTCCAAAAGAGGATTTATTTTAAAGAAAGTAATCAAGACTGGATTTTTGAAAAGCTCCCGGCCTACCAATGTCTGGTATGAATCTTCTAAACAACTGTTCGCTAATGCGAAGCAAATTAATTCAGTTGTCCTTTTTTATTCATTCATTCCCCTAACAGAAGTTGCTGAATGCTGCTCACGTTGTTCATATAATTTAATCTTGATCCAACCTTCTTCTCACTAATTATATATAATTACCTAATATTATCTGTTTGCTACATACACTTTTTTGTCTTGATTATTAAAAATGCGGATATCGTGTCATTAGGATAGAATTTCAATATCTGCGAAGGACATCATGTTCACACTCATTGCTAGACGCTCTAGGCATTTTGCTGGAACCAGGTTTGTACATGTGCTCATTAAGCAATTGTTTTCCTTACTATTGTAGTGGGATTTGGGGTGAAAAAGTTTATCTGCTGCTGAATAGATATTTAAAGATGGGGGTGAATGAGAAAGGCTGAGTAGCAAATGATGCTGAGACTGAGCAAATTGTGTATGGAGCTAGACCTTGGCCTACAGAAGCAAGTTCTGTTGTGCAAAACAGAGGTTCAATCCCTCTATTTTGGTCAGAGGAGACATCAAAGATGAACAATTAACCTGATATTATACGTAAGCTCTTAAACCTATCTATGATGCATATTATGCCGTACAGTACTAACTTCTGCAAATAAATTATCATTTGGTCAGTGGATCAGAAGGGCGAGAATTAAGAAGCTACTAGGCTCCATTTTGAGAATCCTAGGAGAAGATATGGAGATCCTATCATTTTTTTTAGACTTGATTAAGGTTAGTTTGACCTTGTTATTCCAGAGTAGCAGCATCTTGTGTAACATTTATATACCTGGACATGAATGATATTTTGGAATGCCTTCTCACATTTATTTTTGTTGTTCACATGGGAAAAAACGTGAGAGGCGAGAGTCAATACTTCGTCGTGAATTTGATATGGTGTTAAGGATAATAAACAAGAGCATACCAGCCGAAAATCATTTGAGGTTCTTGCATTGGGATCTTCATGAAAACTCCCTAGGTTATTGAATGATATATTTTTTCCCCATTTCCCATTTGCCAGTATTCTATAGTGTGCATTACGGAAGTATCTTTGTTTCAGAAAACCTATAAATGTGCTTGATGTTCTTTTAAAAGTGGCGTTCCGTGCTCTGAGGTTGACTGAGTTCTATAGTGTGCTTGATGTTCTTTTGAAAGTGGCGTTCCGTGCACCACCTACCAGGTCTGATACTGCTCATCATTGGCCTTCCCAATTGTATTTTTTTCCTTCCCAATATTAATTTGTCCGTTACGATTTCTGTTGCGTTATATGTCAAATATTAATCATCATGTGGTGATCATGGATTAAATTAGGAACAATGGTTTAATTGGGTTATTCTAGGGAGAAGTGATATTCGTTGGTTGTCACGGCTGCCTGGAAGGGAATTACAGCATTTGATTTTTAGATTTAATAGCTTAAGTATCATTTGGGCTCACTAAAGTGCTTCCTTTTTCTTATCTTTCAGACTTTTACTATGAATTATTTAACACGCATAAAAGAACTTTTCTTGGATGATTTTTTTTATTATGAAATCAACATTTATATTGACAAACCTGCTTAGCTTCAGTTGGACAATGATAAGCTGCAGTAAGGCTCTTTCTCATTGAAGGACATTGGTAGATTCTGCACGGCTGTTCTATTACTAAACTCAGTAGAGAATATATTTGCCCTTTTGCTTGACATCACATCTTTTATTTTCTCTGTTTCATATGGTGTTTTGTTTCTCATTTTAGCTGAACATATGTCTAATTTATTTGTACCGTGATCTTTTTCTGAAGATATTCTCTGCAAAGAGAGGTCATCCGAAGCATGGTTAAAAAACAGTAAGTAGCAAAAAAATCATGGCACATGAGTCAGTGGTACGCAGTAGCAAAAACATAGTTAGGAGTTGCATTGCTGTTTTGCTATTCCAAAACGTTTATGAATTGTAGCAGGATGTTTGTTCCTATTTAAACGAGAGCTTTTAGCCATTTATTACCTTTTGTCGCTTCCCTGCTGGTTATGTTCGAAGAAAACAAAAAAAATCCTTATTGAAATATGCACTTTGTAAAACAGTACGGGGTTCTTATACTCTTTTCTTTAATAACACAGTACAATAAAAAGAGAGATATCATATGGCAGCATTCTTTGTGAAAGCAACACATCCATATCTGGATGTAGTGGTTGCCATAATGAAGACGTCAGTTGTTGAATGCAACACCGCTTGATGTTAAAAGTGGGTCACAATTTCCAGTATTGGAATCTGGTTCAGTACATGGCAATGAAATTTCATTGACTTGTGAAAGTGAGGTATCAAACTTAAGGTTGGTTTCTATTCGTTCAGGGCTTTGACCTTCATTCTTCTCATACAAGTACTTTACAAGAAAATCATGAAAAAGCATGGTGTTTTAAATAGTGGATTACTACCATTTGTATTTGAAACCTTAATTCCTTTCTCAAAATTCGCTACAGGTATACACACCCATGGTACCTCAGATACATCATGTTCCAGGCATTGAAACTGAAAGTTGCATTCATTCAAGTGATTCAAACAATGGATCTTGAATGGCTTTCAACTTCAGGCAACTTAAGCGATGAAAGGTGTTTACTTTTGCATTGCTATTGTATTTTTTTTAGCGTTTTCGACTGATAGAATATCATCTTCATAGTGGCAGTCAATTTGATGTACACACATTTTCTTTGCCTTAGTGTAGGGAAAAGTGAAGGATAATAATTATTGAGAAAATCCATAAAATGCCATTGACAAGCACCCTAATCTAAGAAATGCCATTGACGAATGTAACTTCCAGGAAATGCCATTGTACGAGCCATTTTGTCCCAAAAATGCCATCACCGTCACTTTTACTCTGTTAGGTGCCGTTAATTTTCTCAAAATGACCAAATTACCCTTCTCAACCCATGACAAATTAATCCCCTTCTCTTCCACCGCTGACTACTCCTCTTCCTCCCCTTCACTTCAACCGCGCGCCGGCCACTCCTCTTCCACTTCTTCTCCCGTCTGCGGCGGCTGTCAAGGAGGATCGATGCCGCCGCCGCGCCTCCGCTCACGTCCTCACCCAGAGTACCCCGGTCGCCCTCGCCCTCGAGCTCCTACCGCCGCCGCCGCCGCCGCCGCCCCCAAGCTCCTGCCCCAGCGGCTTCCCCCCTTCCACCACCGTGCAGGGCCCCTCTCACCTCTCTCTCTCTCTCCTCGACGATGACCTCGAATGGCGAAGCCAGGCAGTAGCGGTTGAGGCAGCCTCGCGGCTGTCAAGGAGGATCGACGCCGGCAGCGTGCGCAAGTGGATCTGGCCGTCGTGGCGATGGTTCCTGTCCTCCTCGTCGCCGATGGCACCCCTATGTGCATCCTCACCCGGACCTTCTCCGATGATCTAGCCCTCGAGCTTCTGCCGCCGCCGCTGCCAGCCGCCGGCCCCAAGCTCCAGCCGCGTCCCTCGGCCTCCCACACGAGCTCCTCCTCCTCTGAGCAGCCAACACGCAGGCCTCACCGGAAGCTTTCTTCTCTGTGTACAACAAAAGGCTGATGATTTTGGGAATTTTTGGGGAATGCTACAATACTAAAAAACTTGGGCTAAAATTACTGGAAGTAGATGTTATCATGAACTTCATTTGGTGAATTTTTGAGATTTTTCTCATGTATAGTTTTCCAATGAAAATTCAAAAATCTTGGTTTGCATATACATTATACATCGAAGGGCAAAATAGTCTTTGCACAGTATCTAACTGAGTACAAGTGACAGAGTAGTGACGGTGATGGCATTTCTGGGACAAAATGACTCGTACGATGGCATTTCCTGGAAGTTGCGTTCGTCGATGGCATTTCTTGGATTAGGATGCTTGTGAATGGCATTTCATAGATTTTCTCATAATTATTAGTTGATTATCCTGTAAATTTCTTACCCTTCGTGCTTAATTCCATATCAATCTAAATTCTAGAGTTCTTTTGCTCTCACTGCATTTCCATGTAATAAACACAAGTCTGTAGTATCGTGTTGTATCACTAAATATAACTATCTGTATTGAGAAGTAAAATGAAAATATTATGTTGCCACACTTCTTAAATCCAATTAACGAGTGTCTTAGCTTCCAGTATGTTCACTGATACTGATTTGAAGATATCCTCCGAAATATTTATTTTTATAACTCATTGAATGCTGATGGATTGTGCTTGAACAGGTCCATTGCAATTAGTACTCCAGATGTGAACGGAGAATGTTATTGCCACAATATGTCTTCTTTTGATTGGTAGATTTATATGATCAAATATAGTTGTACCATCACCATGGACGCATTGCTCTGATCATTATGTAAAACTTTGATTTCATTTTTTATATGCATTGGTGCTTCATCTTTAGATTATAATGTGCAAGAGTTTTCTTAGCAGAATCTGTAAAACAATGTATGCAAAATAACTCATCAACGTCATTCCCTGCAAATGTATTCATAGATTTTTTTTCTTACATAATCATTGATTCAGCTTAAAAACAAATGATTAGCCTACAGTAATCAAGGAAACTATGTGCAGGCGGCGCGCCATTGGCGCGCCCCAGCATCTAGTATGTATTAAATACATATATATGTTATGCAAATGCATATGTATATATATATATTAAAGCACTTAACATTTTATGTGCATATATATATATGACCAAAATATATATTTACAATAAAGTAAATGTGTACATGCATATAGAAAAATAGACATGTATTAATTACAATTCATTATAATGTCCTAGCTAGCTATGACTTCGATGTAGTAGTAGTCGTTATCTCAGAAGCTAACGACCTATGAATTGTATTTCCGTCGTAGTAGAATTCACCCTCAAGATCAAGGATTTGTTCGTTGATGAATTCCATGAGTTGTTCTTGAACCGCCGCGATAAATTTCTTGTGTGTGAGGTTATCCCTCATGCGAATAACCTATGAATGTATGAAATTAATTAGTAAACAACAAATTGATACGTACGCAATGAAATTTTGAATTTATTTGTACGTACATCGAGCTCTCTTGTGGTGATGATTTGGTCAGCAAGGCAGTGGCAATACTCGCACACGTAGTAGCCGCACAAGTTAGTTCCCTGGGCTTACTTTGCGCACTATATATACATGACAAACGGCGAGAGATCTAATTAATATACACTTGTATGTATTTGAATTGGAGATTTAGTATAAATGTAGAGCATGTGTACTCACAGGAAATTTAAACTTCCGCCTAAGTCTTTCTCTCCAATTGCCGTGGACCAAATAACGGAACCGATACCAAGCCCTACATGGAGTTTAAAGCTATGATTCGTAGTAGCAATTAATTATAACAAGATTCGTAATTAACATTGGAACTTATGACAGTACCTGTCTATAAGTTCAAAAACCTTGCCAAACGTAGACTTTTTTTTTATCCATTGAGTCATATACGTTGAGTACGCAGGCCTCCAAGTCGAAGAGTAAAAGGACCCAGTGGAATCTACAATGTGCGTCGGATGCATTACATATGAAACACTTAGCATGTTCGTACGGGAATGAAATTTGGTAGGAAGACAGTAAAAACTAACTCTGTGTTGTGCGGCAATAGTATGAATGTCTTGTAATGCTGCGCCTTCAGGAGATGGACGAGATTGTCATCTATGGCTTGTGGATACTGATCGAGCATTGCGACGTTTACTTTCCGAGGGTCGATGAATCCAGTATCGAAAACCCCCCGCCGTCAGGCCCTTTGAATCTACATTCTACAATGATAAAAGGAAGTATATATTATATATGGTATACTTATATACAAGGACCTAATTAATTAAAAGAAACGTAATAAGAAATCTAATTGAACGATACTTACAAAGTCCAACAATTCATAATAGAGACGTCGAGGGCGTCCAGCTGGTATAGTTCGTAGATACCCTTGAAATTGATCCAGAGAATATCTTCTACTTACAAGAAGTCCGTGTCCCTGATCCTCGCTCCGATCATCTCTCTACCGGTGGCGCTCATCTCCATGTACAGTTGATGGAATTTGTACATTTGTGTCGGTAGGGATTACAGCTGCTCAGGCTTGACAAGCGGTTTACCGAGTTTGTACATGTATTTCACTTCCGCCTTTTCGATTGGTGCGCCTCGTAGCAATTGATCCGTAGTTAGCCCGGTGTAATTAATAAAATCTTGTATTCCAAATTCTTCATCGGTCACCAACGGCTCGATCTCCTGGTTTGGTTGCTCTCCAAGTTGAGGGACTGGTTTTGGACTTTTCAGAAGATGCTTTCTTAAGTGTTTGCTCATAGTCCGATAGCTTTATGGCCTCCTTGGCAGGTGCAGACATACCCCTGTAGAAGTTCCTAACACTCGGGTCTATAGGAATCTTCTTTTCTGGACTTCGAGGCTTCAATTGTCTCTTGACTTCTGATGCCACATAAGCATCAAGGTCCTCTTGCATGCAATCGTACCCGGGTCCTTGTTTTTAGCGGCGTCAACTTTTGCCTTCTTCGTTGCCCTTGTGGGGGCAGGCGGTGGAGCTTGGGGGGCCCTTGACTTGGAAGGTGTCGGACGAGGAGCATGCGGAGGAGTCAGTGTAGGAGCCTGAGGAGGAGTCGGTGCAGGAGCCTGAGGTGGAGACGGTGCTGGAGCATAAGGAGGAGACGATGCAGGAGCCTGAGGTGGAGACGGTACCTTTATGCTCTCCAAGCATTCAAACATACTTTCCTTCTCTGCCTTGCTAAGAGTGTAGCTGGCTGGACTCAAGTAATGGCTTCCTTTCTCCTTTGGTTCCGGGTGAAGGTCGCCGCGTTGTTCCACATGCTTCAGATCATTACGTGCTTCCAGTGTATATTTCGACTTTCCATATACATCTAGGAAGCCAAGAAGGTTTACGCAAAGGTTCTTAGTGAGGTGCATCACGTCGATTGCGTGGCGGACGTCCAAGAATTCCCAATAGGGTAACTCCCAAAATATAGAGTTCTTTTTCCACATCGCCGCATGACCATCTTCGCTCTCTATAGGCTAGCTTCCAGGCCTCTTTCCAAACACTACTTTAAGATCTTTAACCATAGCAAACACTGTTTTCCCGCTGCGATGTTTAGGCTTCGTACGGTGGTCCGCCTTATGTTCAAAGTGCTTGCCTTTCTTCCGTACCAGGTGGTTTGTAGCAAGGAATCGACGATGACCCATGTACACAACCTTCCTACAGTGCTTAAGATACGTACTTTCTGTTTCATCCATACAGTGAGTGCAAGCCTTGTACCCCTTGTTGGATTGCCCGGAAAGGTTGCTAAGTGCAGGCCAATCGTTGATGGTTACGAACAGCAGCGCTCGTAGGTTAAACTCCTCCTGTTTGTCCTCGTCCCACACGGGGACACCTTCCTTTTTCCACAACAGTTTAAGATCTTCGACCGGTGGTCTTAGGTACACATCGATGTCGTTACCAGGTTGCTTGGGGTCTTGAATAATAATCAGCATTATTATGTATTTCCTCTTCATGCATAGCCAAGGGGGGAGGTTGTAGATACACATTGTAACGGGCCAAGTGCTATGGCCGCTGCTCATCTCTCCAAAAGAATTCATGCCATCCGTACTTAAACCAAACCGTATGTTTTGTGCGTCCTTTCCAAAGTCTTTAAATTTTCTGTCGATGTTTCGCCACTGCGAACCATCAGCGGGGTGTCTCAGCATCCCGTCCTATTGACGTTCTTCAGCGTGTCATCGCATCATTCTAGCATTCCCCTTGTTCCTGAACAAACGCCTTAGCCGTGGTATTATAGGGAAACACCACATCACCTTAGCAGGAATTCTCTTATTTGTTGGCTGCCCGTCAACTTCACTTGGATCCTCTCGTCTAATCTTGTATCGTAGTGCTTTACAAACAGGGCACGCTTCTAGGTTCTCGTACTCCTCACCGCGATATAGGATACAATAATTCGGACATGCGTGAATCTTCTGAACTTCCAGTCCTAGAGGGCAGACTATCTTCTTAGCCTCGTACGTTGTCTCGGGCAATTTGTTTCCCTCCGGAAGAATGTTCTTGACGAGTTTCAAAAAATCACCAAATGCCTTGTCACTAACACCATTTTTTGCCTCCCATTGCAAGAACTCCAGAGTGGTATCCAACTTTTTGTGCCCCTGCTCGCAACCTGGGTACAACGACGTTCTGTGGTCCTCTAACATCCACTCCAATTTATGAGCCTCCTTTTCACTTTCACAGTCCTCCTTTGCGTCCTGCAACATCTGACCAAGATCATCCGCAGCGTCGTTATCGCCAGCATCCCTGTCCACCTCGCCTGTTTGATTTCCTTCAAATCCAGCGTACTGAGCCCAGTCGGGAATGTTCTCGTCCTCCGTTTCATCTTCTTCCATTTCAACCCCTTGCTCACCGTGGGATGTCCAACAATTATAGCTTGGCATGAACCCCGACTCAAATAAGTAGAAATGAATAGTCCTGGATACAGAATACTCCTTCTGGTTCTTACACTTATTGCATGGACAACAAATAAAACCATTACGCTTGTTAGCTTCGGCCACTCTCAAAAAATAATGCACGCCCTCGATAAACTCTTTGGACCACCGGTCATCGTACATCCATTGCCGATCCATCTACATGAAATGAAAAAAACTCGTACATAAATAAATTTTCATACAATAATGACAGTCAAACAGTAATGATAAAATAATTAAAAACTCTTTCGACAAGCAATTCTTATTAACAATTTTTGAAGTTCTAAACTAATATTAATGTTGTACTTCTCTTAATTTTCAATTTAGTTTGTTTTCTATTTTTTAAGATTAATTTTCATCATATTTTAAACTATGAGAATAAAATTTCTATATATTCTTCTTCCCAACAAAGTTTTGGAGACAAAAAAAATGTGTGAAACATAGCTCCAAAAGTAATATAACAACAAAAAAACATTGGAGGATGAATTTACTAACCTTTTAGACACCTCCGATTTGTATATAATCACTAAAAAAATTTCACAAGAAATTTTGGCATACCTCTCCTCTTTCTTTGAGAAATTTTGAAGCTTGCTCTCGGACTGGAGGAGGAAGAAGTCATATATAAAGGGGGATATTCTAACTTTAGTCCCAGTTGGTTCACCAACCGGGACTAAAGATCCCGGGGGAGGGGGGCTGACAATGTCTGACATCTTTAGAACCGGGACTAAAGATCATCTTTAGTCCCGGTTGGTTGGACTAAAGATCACATATGCCCGTTGTAGCCACCAACCGGGACTAAAGAACCGGGACTAAAGATCATCTTTAGTCTCGGTTTTAAAAGGATCCGGGACTATTGTGGATTTCGGCCGACCGACCAAATATGGTTTCTCCACCAGTGACACATTCATGGGTGCCAAATAAAGAGGAACGGAGGGAGTATCTAATTATTCCTTATACCTATCCCTTAATTTCATCCTAGTTCATGACAAATGAGTGCACACTTAATGACACAAGATTCAAAATCACATACATTGACTGAAAATAATACTAGACTCAAAGTCTCGAGCCCCTAATAGTGCCAATAAAGTTGCCAACAATTTCACCAGCTGCAACTTATCCTCCGTTCAATATCACTGGTCTTGAAAAAACAAGAACTCTACTACTATTGATCTAAAAGCATCGCCAAAACTGACATGGCGAGGACGCAAAAGCAGTGAGATGGTTGGTTAAGAAAATAAACACTACCTAAATGCCACCGAACCAAACCATAGTATTATTTAAGGGCCCTTGGAATCGTAGCAATGGAAAAAAACAGAAATATGACAAACATATGATTCTGATAAGAATAGAACTGTAGAACAGATAAATACAAAACAGAAGAAAACACAGGAAGAACCGTTTGATTGGACAACAAGAAAAAGTATGAATCGGATAAGAGAGATAGACAAAGTAAATTTTTCAAGAGTTTTGAGCTCTTGCTAAGTTTTCTTCAAAATCTACATATACAATGAGTCATTTTAAACATAGGATTTGGAAAGCTCCAATCATTTGTATCAAAGGCCAAATAGAAAAGTTTCTGGTAGAAGAAACGATGACCAAGACTAATAAAGACACATTTTTGGTATCATTAAAATTGAGCATATAAGAGTCAAATGGTTTCCTTCATGATAATGTGTTAGACACAATAATCACATGGAAATAAGAGCATTAATACCCAATCATATAAAAACAGTAATAAAAACATGCAGCCTACTAAAAAGGCTCATCATAAACCTCGTTTAATTGAAATGTTGTCACCGTGGTGGTGGTGAAAGAGGTACAGGCAGGTAGCGATGGATGTGGCAGGTTCATCTCTGACAGTGACAAGTATGCTCCAGCAAATTTTCGGGGCGAACAAATTGACTATTGTTTTGAATCGTTATTACAGAACTATCACAAGTTTCAAATGATATTTTTACTCTAGCCAATAGAATTAGTGAGGAGGTTCCGAGGCGACCCAAGAAGAGTAGGTGGCGGCGCTGTCCAGATCCATGCTCTCCTCGGCCGGATCCGGCGAGGAACAGCGACGCAGTTTGGATTAGCATCAGAGAGCGGCGCAGATGGGTGAGACGCACCATCTCTGGCATGGGGGAGGCAGGGCAAAGCACAGCAACCCGATGAGGATGTAGTGGTGAACTCCGGCGAGAGGCTACGGATCTTGTGCTGCCACGATCGGATCAGGACCTCCCAAGAGTGGATCTGTCGCCTCTGCGCCCAAGCTGGCCATGGCAGCGGGAATTGGTGCCAGCGACGACAATGGAAGGCCAATGCGGCGGGAAGCTAGTGCGGTCGGTGGAAGGGAGGCCAATGAGGCCGGCGTGGGCAACGGCAAGGCCGTCGCGGCCTGCAACCGCAGTCCGCAGGAGGATGACACATGTGACGGCAGGGAGGCCAACGTGCCTGGTGGTGGCGGAGGCTGTCATGGTCGACGACAATAGGCGGTCATCGTGTCAACGGCATGAGACTATGAGAGGTAGCTGGTGGTGGCCTACTGCACTGTCTATGAAGGAGTTGGCGGGTTGCAGGAGGAATCATGGTCGTGTGTGGCTAGTGGTGGGGTGCTAGTGCAACGGAGGATCGAGTTGGTAGACGTTGTACAGGTGGCAAGGCTCTGGGTGTGGTAACGACAAGTGTGGGTGAAGGTGTTTCAGGTGAGAGCCTAGCTCGGGGCTTCCTGAGCTGGCAACCATGTGAGGAGCAGCTCATGGTGGCGCTGTGTTTGTTTTTGTTTTTTTTTCCTGTTACGACCTTACACAGTTATAATCTCGTAATTTTTTCTTACTACATCAATATAAACTTCGCACTATCTTATACGGGTCATTAATTTTTTTTATAAAATATAAAAATCCAGTGGCGAATTCACTGAATTTTTTACATTTTAGTCCTTTTGAAAATCTTATTTTACAAATATACCCTTAAAAAACTTATTCTATAAATAGTCCTTTTGGGGGCGCTAGAGTGACTAGCGCCATGGTACAACGGGACGGCGCCAACATTCTTGGCGCCGTTCCCCTGCCACCGTGGTAGCTGATGTGGCATAGGAGGGCGCCGCCACCCATCTAAACAACGCCAACATGAGCGGCGTGCTCATTCTGAATTCGTGATGGATATCTACCTGCTGGTTGCATGTAAAGTTGGACTACTACTACTAACCTGACACAATTTGGATTGACCGATTGAGAACTGACCATGTACGGTGTTTCGGACAGGGCCAGTTCTCCATCAGTCCATCCAAATTGTGTCAGGTTAGTAGTAGTAGTCCAACTTTACAGGCAAACAACAGGTTGATATCTATCACGAATTCAGAATGAGCACGCCGCCCGTGTTGGCGCTGTGTAGATCGGTGGCGGCGCCAGGATTGCTGGCGCCCTCCTATGCCACGTCAGCTATGCGATGCCACGGTGGCAGGGGAACGGCGTCAGGAATGCTGGCGCCGTCCCGTTGTACCATGACGCCAGTCACTCTGGCGCTCAAAAAGGGCTATTTCTGGAATAAGTTTTTTTAGGAGTCTATTTCTAAAATAAGTTTTTAAAAGGACTAAAATGTAAAAAAATCAGGCGAATTCACGGATGCTCCAAAGTTCAGAATCTCCCGGACGGAGCACGAACATGTGTGTTGTAGCCTTATAGGAGTAGTTGTGAAACCGACCTTGCCGCTGGTCAGCTTCGAACCCAGGCAAGTAGAAGAACCCCCAAATTCCCCCTTGTCGGCCTATCCCCACCCAAAACCCTCGCGTCCACCCGCCCCCGCCGCCGACGACCTCGCCAGAGGAGCTCATGGACGACGCCATCGCCGCGCTCCCGCCGGAGCTCGTCTCCGAGATCCTCCTCCGCCTCCGGCCGGACGAGCCCGAGCACCTCTTCCGCGCGTCACTCGTCTGCAAGGCATGGCTCCGCGCCATCTGCGACCCCGTCTTCCTCCGCCGCTACCGCGCCTTCCACGGATCCCCGCCGCTGCTCGGCCTCCTCCACAGGCTCCGGGTCATAGACGGGGACCCCGCCCCGCGCCTCGCCCGCACCACGGCGGCGCCCCTCTCCCCCGACCCGGCCTTCCTCCGGGCCCTCGACTGCCGCCATGGCCGCGTCCTCCTCCACGCGTCGAACCTCGGCCTCATCGTCTGGGACCCCGTCACGGGCGAGCAGCACCGCCTGCCGGAATCTGGCATCCCGTGGCTGATCTACACCGCCGCAGTGTTCTGCGCCGTCGGCGGCTGTGACCACCTCGACTGCCACGGCGGCCCCTTCCGAGTGGTCTTCGTGGCCACCGACGACGACGACGAACTCGTCAAGGGGAGTGTGTATTCATCGGAGACCGGTGTGTGGAGCACGCCAGCAACTCTTGATGATGGCTATCAATCCTGGGAAGAGCGTTGGCAGGCGGCCCGCAGTAGAGGCGAATACTACCGCACACCTTATGTCCATCCTAAGCGATGTGCCCTTGTCGGAGATGAAATCTACTTCACACTTCGGAACGGCAATACGATCATCGAGTACAACTGGGGAAAGAACCGCTTATCTATGTTTGACCCGCCGACATCGGACTTGTACTACATTGCCCTCACGGTGATGGAGAATGGTTCACTGGGGTTTGCCGGCATTGAGGGATCCAGCCTTAATGTGTGGTCGAGGAAGGTGAATCCACAAGGGGCTGCAGAATGGGTACTATGCAGGATCATCGAACTGGAGAAAATTATACCTGTAGTCGATCTCAGTGATGAAGCATGTGTGGTTGGCTCTGCAGAGGGTCTGGGTGTCATCTTCGTGAGCACAGGCGTTGGCTTATTCACGATCGAGCTCAAGTCAAGGCGGGTGAAGAAGCTTGAAGAGCCTGGTGTCTACTTTAGTGTCTTACCCTACATGAGCTTCTACACTCCTGGTAGTGTACTGAACCTTGCTTGTCTATTTTCCTGCATTTTCTTTACAGCTTCTATATATTTGCTTAGTCACAATGTAACTGCTATTCTGTTATACTGATTGACCAAGACCGTTTTGTGTATATGAGAGAATACTGGATATATGGCATTGGAAATCAGAACCTGAATGTTTTTAATGAGATCTTACCTGTTAAGAACCATGAACATACATTGGTCCAGTTGCTATTATGCATACAAACTTTGTTGATATGATATTATATGTTACCTACTAGAAAAAATTCTATTATTTCTGGCATAGATGAAGCTAACTTCTCAGCCTCTGTTATTTCGTGGAATTGCTGATGTAGTTGATGAAGCATGAAATGGCTATTAGGTTAAAATGGATATTGCTAAATATTTAAAGAACCTTGTTGATATAGTACTAATCCTTTTGCCTTGCTTCAGATTTTCTTTACAAATTATTATGTTACATTCTGACATAGCTGAAGCTCAGATCTCATACCCAATCTAGTAACTTTGGAATTACTTCTAAGTACATAGCTCGTCAAATTGTAAATTTTGAGCTGGACAGTTGGTTCTGAGTTGTGTGCTTACCTACTTGGTGTCTTTTCAGATCGTGGCACATTGTTATCGCTAGCAAGGACTCACTGATCTTTGATCTCATGCTCAAGAGTAACATGTTGCAAAATGGACAAATCCATCGTCTTGGATCTGCTGCGATTGACATCTTCCAGAGATACTACTATGAAGTTGTTTATTTTCTGTTGGGCAATGTAGGTATGAGCAATTCGAGTCATCATGTTCGAATATGGTCATCGTATCAAATTCATCAACCATGAACTGTATTCGGTTTAACATGTCTGGCATATTTCAGTTACTTTTTGGTTTATATTGGGCTAAGGTACATGAAACAAAAATTATATTCACTTGTGTTGCTTCTGTTCAGAGATCTGCAAGTCATGCTAAGCTGAATAGCTGGCTCCCTATTCTTTATTGTTCGTTTTGAGAATGTTGTTTCTGTGATTATATATAATATTGAGCATCAACACGCCCATGAATCCATGATGGTCATGTTTGCTTTGGTGAGCCTTACAGGAATGGGCTAACTGTCCCGTCCAATGTCATGTTTGCTAATGATCATCTGCATGCATAGTTGATAGGCGTCAGCTATCAGAATTTCTTGCTCAGGATTTTATTTTATCAATGTGTCCGCTGAACTTTATTAGTGATCTCGCCCTTCGGCCCTTGTGTGCTATTTACCCCTGACGTGGTTTCTTCGTTTTGGCTGGCTGGCTTTGTGCGGCCCGTGCTGCTACTGGGGTTGCTACTTGTCGGAATAGGGCTGTGTTTGCTTTTTAAGTCAGTGAACTTGCTTGGATTACTTCGACCTGTAACCTGTGTAGTAATAAAGTTTTTAGTCACTCTTGTGTTTCGCTGTTAGCCTGTTACACCTGGATGAAATATACTGATTGCATCTAAATTCAAAATAAGCAGCTGCGGTACTTACTAAAATCCGCTTCCGCTGACGGTGCAATTTTGTGGCTGATCATTCCAGGCTCAGTATACGCATAACATATCGGTTTGCGTCTGTAGGTAGTTTCTGGCTGTGAGAACTGCCAAGACGTTCTGTCAGAATTAGTGCGAGAAACAGCTCCTTCCAATTTTTTTCCTTTGCCTCTTCTTCAGTTATTTCATCTCTTTGGTTGTTTGGAAGGAAAGTACCTTTTAATCCTTGCTAGTTTTGGGGCAAGAAGGGGACGACTCTGGTTTCGACAAACGTTCAGGTCATGTATTAGTATTGTGGTATTATCTTTTCGTTTATGCTTATACTTATCAGCCAAAATTTAAATTTTTAAACTTAAAATTAAAGTTGATTTTAGAGTTTTTTCATCGAAGTTTATTTTTTAGCCTTTGCTTTTATATCACTGAGAACACGTATATAAAAGTTTTATTCACAAATTTTTTTTCGTTTCGTTTGGGGCCGTCGGTTCTGACCGATCGACTGGAGCCCGGCTTGGCTCGCTGCACTTGGTCAGTCGACCTGGCAGGCTGCTCATTTTCTTTTTGTTAGTTTTTCCTTTTCTTACCAGTTTCTTTTGATGAAATTTGCTCTCTTTCTAACTCTAAATTTCTCATCCTGACCCTTTCTCTATTGCATGGATCCTTCTTTTATACTTTAAGAGGAGTCCACAATGTTCATACATGCATACAGAAGTGGGACCCAACTTAAGGAGTTGGTAAGCTGGGTCTTTGTCGCTGTCCCTCCAAGTGGAGCGGCCGAATATGATACTCACTTACCGGTTGACACGTGGAGCAAGGTAGATAAAGTTTTCGTCCTAGTTGTTGATGGGGCCCACCGGTCAGCCTCCAAAACCAATAAACTACGGGAGAGGGGGGGAGGCATTGGGTGTGTATGGAGTGCGCGCCGCGTCGCCCACCTTTTTCTTTGGGGCGATGTGGGCAAGCAAGAGAAGGCATGCACAGCGACACCCCCGCATCGCCTGTGATTTGTCCATAGAAATTGAAATACACCGCAATTAATGTGGATTGATAGGCTAAGGTTGCGCACAAGACCAGGTCAAATATCCTTAATGAAGTATATTCGCTCTAAAAGACCTCGGGCCGCTAACCTAGTTGCGGCGACTGTCGTGTCCCCGAGCTAAAGCTAGCTCGATCCCGAACTGATATTAATGTCGGCTCATCTTCTCTGGCTTGGGATAGTACTCAAGTCCCTTCATCAGTCCACGCTTTGACTATCGTGGTCCCCAAAATATCCCGAGCAGCCGATGGAGTAGGATCCTTGTTCTATTTCTCTGACAATGTTGCTATTGTAACTCAACCCTATTTATCTATCGTCTTCTCCCCGATAGCTATATGCAATCTTTCTCTACAAGCATGCATCGACGCCACCACTGACATCGCCTCCCCACCCCAACACACCATCCCTTGAACTTGCCAACATTGGCGAGTCCCACCACATCCCCCTCCCTGCCTCTCCTCAATCTGGGTGACAGCAAGGTGCCTCCGCCCCCATCGTCTTCTCCGCGTCAGGCTCCCCCCTCATCTGTAAACGCCACCACTACCCGTGCTTCCTAACCCCTCTTGTTTCCATCTATCTCATCCCCACCTCTGATGCCTCGCCATTGCCTTCCTACATCCCTGTTGCTCGATGGCGCCATTGTCGTCTCACCATCCGCCCATGTCCATCACCCCACTTGTCAGCCCTCCACCACTATGGCCATCCTTCTAAGCTCGAGGAAACCCGTCTTGCCCCTTCTACCTCAACCCCAACCCTGAATCTTGACTTGTGAAGGTGTCGTCAGAGTTAAGGTAGCTTAAGTTGTGTCCTAGCTTGGTTGATCATCCGAAAAAGGTAGGAGAAACTCACCGGAGCAGAATTTTTGCAAACTTTGGCCTCCATTTTTCTTTCAAATATGGTTTAGCAATTCCGACTCATGCAAATGTTATGTATCGACTCAATTGAAAGTACAATGTGAAAAATGATATTGGAATGATGTCCAGACGGAAAAAACATAACAAAAATTACTAACTTGTGAATGAAGATCCAACCTTAGAACCTACTCCTTCTGTCTCATAAAAAACCAATCTAACATTGAATGTGACACATCCTAGTACCATGAATCTGAATATATCTCTGTCCAGATTTGATGTACTAGAATGTGTCACATCTAGTACTCGATTCACTTTTTTTTGGATGGAGGGAGTAACATGCTAGCTAGAGATTAATTAAGATGTAACCATAGAACCAAACAAGCTATCTGATCATGCGCCAATATCCGGTTCATCATCATATTGTACCGGGAGGCTATCATCATATTGTACCGGCTTCTTCAAATTTGTCTTCTCCCAAGCCGGCAAGAAATACCACAGTGGGCTCGACACTCCTCCGGCCACCGGCAGCCGCCGCGCGGAGCCCCTCGACGCCACGTTGAACACGAAGGCCTCGTAGCCTCCCTCCGGCGCCGCCGTGTTGTCCCAGTAGTAGAGACAGTCGCCCACCAACTCCGACGAGTCCACGACGACGCGCACCGCCGCGTCGTTTGCCCCGAGGAACACCGCGTGGCCTCCGAGGTCCTTCGCCTCCACCCAGCGCGGCCCGCGCGCCCCCGGGTCGTACCTCAGGACGAACACCTCGCTCTCCGAGACGCGGAGCAGGCGCTGGTCCAGCATCCCCGCCGGCGCGACGGCGGAGCCCGCGCCGCCCGGCCGCCTCCACACCTGGTACAGCACGCCGCCGCAGAGCACCACGCTCTTGGCGTCCGTGTGCCGGGCGATGGTGTCGTACGGCGTCGAGAAGGCGGCGGCGCCCGCGCCCGCGCCGGCCACGAGCGGCTCCACCTCCACGGCCCGCAGCCTGCCGCGGCGGCGGCGGCGGCGGTCGAGGTGGAGCACGTGCACGGCGCCGTGCGTCGTCAGGCAGTAGACCACCTTGGCCTTGCCTTCCTCGCTGTACGCGATGTCGGCCAGGGCGGCGCCGTCCATGAGCGCCTCGGTGTCGACGACGAGGCTCGAGGAGTAGCCCTCGGTTGCCCTCTGGACGGCGAGCCTGTTGGGCCGGCACATGCTCACGGCGGCGAAGTCGCGCGCCGTCGGGCTCGGCGAGAACACAACCTTGGGCGCCCGCTCGCACTCGGGGTCGTACAGCGAGGCGTGCTGCGGGATCTCCGCGCCGGTGAGCGGGTTGAACAGCAACACGGCGCCGCTCGTCGGCTTCCCTGCCGCTGTTCCGACGAGGGCGAGCCAGCCGTCGCGCGTGCCGCCGACGCAGCGGCAGGTTTCGGCGTCGAGCCCCGATGGCTGGTGGAGGCCGACGAGCCGGCTCCAGCGCCGCGCGTTCTGGGAGCAGACGCCGAGCGACACGGCGACGTCGGCGGCGGCGGCGGCGGCGACGGGGGCGAGCGGCCGTGAGGCCAGCGACGGGAGCGCGGAGCGCCATGCGCGGCAGACGGCGCGGCAGGAGGCGTAGTCCTTGACCGGGCAGCAGTCGGCGACGCGTGACACGAGGTCGGGGGTGAGGTCGTCGGACCACCGCCGGAAGGTAGTAGTAGTAGCCATGTCGTCGAGCTCATCCATGAGGGGACGAGATGGCGTACGCGGACGTACGTACTAACAGCGATCTCTCGTCGATATAGGGTTCCATTGTCCAAGAATTACAGATTTATATTATTCAGGAAAAATCTTTTCGCAGAGATCGTATCATCATCAAAGTCAAAAGATGTAATTATCAGCACCTAAAATTTAATCTTTTAGACTAAAAGAATACTCCCTCCGTACTCGTAAAGGAAGTCGTTTTGGATAGCGACACGGTCTCCAAAACATAACTTTGACTTCTTGTTTCTATAAAAATATTTATTGAAAAGTGATATATGTATACTTTTATGAAAGTATTTTTTAAGATAAATCTATTCATATAATTTTTACATTTTCAAACTCAACAACTTGAGAGTTACTTATGATTTATAATCCCAAGGTTTGACTTAAATATTGTTCTAAACGACTTCCTTTACGAGTACGGAGGGAGTATATTAGTTAAGGAATCAGAACCTAAAATTTAATATGTTAGACAAAGAATATAAATTAATTAAGGTAGTTTCGAGGGGACTAGCTATATAACTTCTGATAAGTTTTTTTTTCAAATATAGTTATATGTTAATCGCATTGCAACTATAACATTTATAATAGGGTAACATATATACTCGCTCCGTCCCAAAAAAGACTTAACTTTTAGAGTTTGAATTTTGTCCAACAAAAACCAACTTCTGTCACCCTACCTACTCTCAGCATGTAAAACGAGAAATGTTATTCCTTCAATATCCCTTACGTACCTATCACTATTACTACTTTTTTTCAAAGATTAAGGGTATTTTAGTCATTTTTCATCTCCACTAATTCCACCTTGAAATGCTACGAATGGATTTTTTTTTTGGGACAAAGGGAGTATGTGTTGGACACAGCTCCAACTTCACCTCCATCTCTTCTGAAGCTGGAACCCTAGGATGACTAATTAGCGCGTACGCGCCGTTTC